CGGCTCGTTCGCTTGGAAAGGTATTTGTGCTTATTTAAATATTCAGGAGGACTTTTAAAAGAGATGCGTGTACTGCGCACTGTCGTTCGACTTAGTAAATACCAAGTAACACTGATACTACGATACGATCGGAATATGCTTCATATTTTTGATTTAGATGCTCGTAAAACGCATTGGATTAAATATCCCGCCCTATGTAAGATGATTTCTTGTAAAGTTACGCCCAACGATCGACATCTCTTGAAACGAATATCGTTCCACGTGTGCGGTGACTAACCTTCTAAAATAAAAAAAATAATTATGGACTGTTTTCGATCGATGTTTTTAATCGAAAAGACATAAGCAACAATGACGTGATTTAAACGATGCTTAAGCAAGAATAACGTAAATCGCGGCTTATTGCACTTTTTCATATTTATAATTGTGTTTTATAAATGTTTTGTCATCGTTGTCGCATCGAAATCTTACCAGACCGACAAATTTATACTGCAAAGGAAATTATTGCCTGCTGCTTTTAATAATAATTTTGCGACATTCGTAATTTACACCTTTTCGACAATATTTAACATTATTTTATCATTTCCCATTAGTAAGTTAAAGTGTAATGTATTTCTTATCTTTTAATTCCGATTTTTTATTTTTCATTCGAGAAATTATTTGTTTGTTAAAATCCATAAATAATAATAATAATAATTATTATAATAATAATAAAAGAAAATTAAAAAAAAAAAACAATTCTACCGACAGCTAATACAATTCTCTCATTATACGAAATAAATTCCAATGAATAATAATGATGCGTTTAATGGAAATAAATATTTACAAAATATTTAGCTCGTTTGACTTGAAATTCCTACCAAGTTTCATGATGATCAAGGAGTTACAGTTTTCCCATTCATGCACGATTTTGTATATTAAGTGACACGGGCATTGATTATTCGATACTTATGATATTCTTATAACCATCGAAGATAAGCTAAAATCACTTCTTGGAAGGCAGGATCTCCTTAATCTCATGAATTTACTTATTGTGACATACAAAGTAGGTCTTCTCCGATCATTGTGCGTAGGATAGAATAAATGATTCTATCGGTATTCATCGCAATAAGGACTCTGATTTATGACTGATGGCATGTATAAGTGTGTATCGTATTTTAAAGTTACATAGTTGTTGCAATACAAATATTTAAATAATATTTTACCGCACTATACATAATGAAAACGAATTAGGAATTATTCATTTTTTATTTGCAATTAATTTAAATAGGAGCGCGTTTTTTTTTTTTTTTTTTTTAATGTCATTGTGAACAATGATTCTTAATAAAAATGCATGGCATGAAATATTATTTTTATGATTGAGAATAAAATCTAAATATTCTTACACGCTATATTATTTCATATAAAACTGTGCATAATGTTTAATACGGCTGATTTTGCACGATGAAAAAGAATCTTTGGAACAGTTGTTTATTAAAAAATTTTATTCTCAATTTTACATATTATAAATCTAAGCTTACCTAGTGTCACTAACAATGGAAAATTGAAAAGTTTTTAAGCGATTGTAAAAATAAGCTCTTGTTGAAAAGTTCTTCGAGTATCGACGATTGTGCGAGTGCTGTTGGTGATTTGTTTTACAATGCGATCGAAGCATTCAAATTGGTGACACAAGTACAAAAATAAATAAAATTCTCATTGATAAAAATAAGAAAATTTATTATTTTCAAACCACATAGTTTATTCTTTCAAAAATAATAGTCTATCCAATGAAGATAAATAAACAGATAGATTGAAAGTGAGAGAGGAAAAGAAAGAGAGAGAGAGAGAGAGAGAGAGAGAGAGCGAGAGAGAGAGAGAGGAAGGAAAGAAAAGTGCAAGAGCCAATCCTATGGACCGCTACAAATCTTCAATGACGCAGTCGCTCGTATGCTACGAGTTTAGATGTTTAAGCATTTGTGTTTTACGATGTTTGCCATTACACGTATAATTTAAATTATGTAAATTATAATCTAAAATGAAAAGAAGAAGGGATCTCGTTTGTATTGTAGGAAGTAATGACAAGTTACGCGAATCGTGTAAACCTCATTTTTCAACAATAACTCCTCCACTTTGACGTATAGAAAATTTTTTAAATTTATTATCGTCATCTATTTTTGTTTTCAAAATCTGCTCATACTGCAAAAATTATACAACGACGCGTGCGCACACATGCTCACATATATTATCATCCTCTGGGTAAAAAACATTCATTGTGAAAATTAAAATTAATATATATTAACTTGAGGCTTAATGCGAACATATTCGTTTTATTTCATAAATTGTATATTTACAAAATAAGTTTTCAAGTTTTTTCATAAAATATATTTAATAAAGCCAAACGGATATTGTATTTATTATTTTATTATTATTATTATTATTATTATTATTTTTTAATCGTAAATGCGTCATATACAATGATTTCAATTGAGTAAAAATGCGAGACCAAATAAAATAAATAAAAGCAATTATTAAAATTCAATAGTGACTAAAATTAAGAATATCTTTTCTTTCCTTTTTCTTTTGTCAATTAAAATTCTTAATGTCAGCAAAGTATATCAAACTCCGTATATAAACGGTACAGCGAATATTCATCAATAGACTTTTGTCGATAACTATTATATATCTTATTCTAGACATTATGGAAACTTAGGTATTATTCACCTTCGCAATATATTTTTGATTGATATTTATGAATCATGTACGTATTATAAGAAATTTTCACTCAGGCTTTAATAAATACAATATACCGCAATGGGATGTCTCTTTCTGTCAATATGAGATTTATTATATATTATACATATATAAGGGACAATAAGCAAGGTGGCAAGGATCAGCAAGGATGCCACATAATCGACTCTACCATAATTTTCTCGGATGACGAGCTATGTCAAGGTTACTAGAAACAGAATTAGCTGATCAAATTGATGAAAATGCTCTTGAGTTAAAAGGAAAAATGTGTAGTTCAAAAAGTATTTTTGATACCTTAATGGAGTTAAAACTTGTTACCTACAATTCCCAGTCTTAGCTACATAGAGTAAGTAGTTTGCAAAGATGACGCTTAACAATTTTGAAAATTTAGATAATATGTTTAAGTATTTTTTGTTTGTTTGTTTTTTGTTTTTTCGTACACTTTCAAATTTCTCAGGCGATAATGAACTCCGACTCGAATGACAAATAAGTTACCTCTAAATTAACGTTATTTATTTCATTGCATAAAGATCATATTGAGAAGTAATTGTATACTTTGAACGCTGGTTACTTATAATTTTATTTGCACATCATATATGCAATCATCACTACTTTAATGATTAAACGTATAAAATTCGTAACGGGAATAAAATTATTTCATTTCTCAGAAACAAATGTACATTTCTTTCTTCTTTTTTTTTACGTACAGAAAATTCGTAATATTTGCGCTATTAGAAGAATAGTTGATTATATCTTTCTTTTTTTTTTTTTTTCAGAAATATACACAAATTCGACAAAAGAATTTCTTATTATACTCATTGAATGAAATATTAATATGATATTTAGAAAATTATTTACACAATTTATAAAAGTATTTGGAACAATAAAATATGTAAATTTTTTAAATCTATGCTTTTATGTCCCGTGAGTTTACCAGTAGGGAAGAGAAAAGTAAGAAAAATAACTGTATAAAATATAGATGATTTTGCATTATGCACTATTTATTACCTATTTCAGGTTTTATCGTTTAAATTAATGTTTCACTTGACAGTAAAAGTTTATCATAAGAGAAGTTTGCGATAAGCGTACGGTTTAATTATTAGATATAGTGATAGGAGAACAGACTCGTATGGAATTAAAATATAAAATATAATTCTCCGCTGCTTAACATATTGAAAATTTCAATAAAATATTGCATCGAGAAAGCGATTACGATAACATTGAAATACAGCAGAAAATCATAGTCTTGAGGATTATTCATTGGGAATTATGTTAATTTATAGCTTGAAATATTCGAATAAATTTTGAGGAATCCGTTTATCATAGAACGAAAAATTGCTAGGAATCAATGCAAATTTCATCGAATGAGCACAGACTGCACATATCCTATGTCCGGTACATTTATGGAAAATAATCCTGTTTGAGGATTCGCGCAAACGTTGATAAAGCATCTGCAATGTCATCCCTAAGATGTTTTGTGATTGTGTAAGCTTCGATGATCAGATAAATCTAATTCAAATCTACCCCATAGCGGAGAATAACTCTTAATAAATTGGTCAAAACATTCGAAAAGCCTTCTGTATAGAGCATTAATTGAAATAGGATAATAACGGATATATAATTGGAAGTGCAAAAGTACGATTGATATTTTGACCATTCAATTTCCTCTTTGGGACCGTTAATATTGGCACATTTAATATTTAAAAATCATGATGTTACAGATTTCACAGCCAGGCTGCTCAATTAGATTTTGTTTATCAGGTTTGTTAATATCAATCCAAGGAGGCCTCTACTCGGTATTTTATGTCCAGAATAGAAGGGGAGAAGGGTAGACTCCAATTTCCCGAAAAATGTCCAGCTTTTTACCTTCTCGAATTTTGCATAGACAGATTTCCAACAATGTTCCAGCACATGAACAAGCTATGAATAATTCAATCCAAAAACTAATTTATAAAAGAATTGAAATTCTTATGTTAGAAGACAATGAGTCGTAATATTAGAGTGGCTTTAACATTTTACAAAGAACATTACAAAGAACGGATTAAATGCAAATCCGTTGGAAAAGGTTTGAAGGATATTTGAATATTCGAAATCGGTGAAAAGAATGTACGATTTGTCAAGTATTTTGCAGCAACAAAGTTTTTATAAAGATTTTCGTCTCGATATTTTGCTTTAAAGTTCGTGAAAAAAAAAAATAAAAAAAAAAAAAAAAAAAAAAATAAACGGAAATATGTTTCTGCCATGCTAACTATTGATTATTGATAACGAGACTTGACGCACAAATTTCATCGATAATAAAACATCGCGGTGTGCATCACCAATGACATTTATTTCAATTAATTTTATTATCGCAAATTGTTATTAACTTTCATGGTATATGATTTTCCATACGGCCAATTTGATTATTATCAATGATTGATAAATTCACAGCAAAGAAAAAAAAATCAATTGCAAATGCTATAGTTTCGCTGTATTCGCAGCTCGCGCGCGTGATACGACAGTTTTTATTAAAAAAATTTATCTACGATGAAAAATTATACGAAGGCCTTTACGACATCCCAATTACCGAGTGATACATATGCGATTTATAAGCTTCTTTTTTTTTGTAACATCGATTGTTCCAAACTCCTCAGCGAAACGATAGATTATTGTAGTACAACACTCGTCCTTCATCCCTGATGTGAATTTCGATTTTGCGGGCAAGGCACGTGGAAGCCGAATTTTCAACCCGAAAATTCAAGGGAATTGATTATTTAGAGGACTTCGTAATATGGACTGAAGTGTTTTTTTTTTCTTTTATTTTCAAGTTCCTTGACACCGAATACTCCTCAATAGCTTTCTTCTTGTTGGAGGATTTTACTTTTAAGTCCATAAAAATTGATCGCGACTTCGAGGTATTTGATCTTGAGGTATTTGATCCAACCAAAACTATGGTTGCCGAAATTTATAGAATAATCCCGCAATACACACGCGCGCGCGCCCTTATTAAATACAAACGCCTGCACGATTATTAAAGACTTTTTAAATCTATCATTAAACATTGATTTTTCAATAATAACTTTATACTTCATATGATAGAAGAAAAATATTTTTTTTATCATATTTCAATAATTTTATTTATTCCATACTTCAGCTTCAATTAATTAATTAATTTTATTATTGTTATTAATTTTACGACTTATATTTATAGTACCAATGGCTTTTATAAATACATCTCTTGTTGCTAAGGATATATGACATAACAACTTTTTATATTAAAACTCTTGCGTTGTTATTACATTTATCCGATATGTTTTTAGCATCTTTTACTTAAATAATGAAAATTATAAATACATTTTTATATACTACAAGTATAAAGCTTTGGTAGGGTTGCTGAATGATATGTTCTCAATAAACCTTAAAGTGTTAGGTAGTTTACAATCGTAAATATTAATAAGTAATTATCGATACTTTTTTTTTTAATCCAAATTTGTGTGTTATCGTAGATATTGCACAGACGTCACTCCAGTATAATGAATATTAGTAGTTATTATGTCGCTCTAAAGTGCACAAATTATTTTTTTTACTAGTACACTCGACGTTCTATGTCCTAACACAGGCTATTCGAGTAGTGGATTGCAATAAAAATGCAATAGGACAAAAAGAGACGAGAATTTTGTTGAAAAAATGGAGAAAATTCAATTTTCAAATATTTTTTTACAAGTATTTTATATATTAACTTAACATGGTTAAAAGCTTAATACTTAAAGGTACTAAGATATAAAGTATTATTAAAGAACTTTGGTAAAAAAAATATATATATATAAAATCCTTTTTGTACACAAGCTAAAAAGACAGTTGAATTCAGCAAAAAACGAGGAGATTGTGATTAAAAAAAAATAGCAGTTTATTGTTCGAAATAGAAATAAAGCAGATATTTTAGCAAATTTAGCATTTCTCGAAATATGCATTGTTATATATATATATATATATATATATATACATAGAAAGCGATAATATTATAATAATAGAAAAGCTCTTTACCATATAAATATAAATATAAATAATTTCATAAAATTACCATTATATTACAATATTATATTTTAGTCTTTTACATATACGAATTCATAATATATTAAATGACATTCGCAAATAGTGTGCCAAATAAGCGTTTATTTTTTTACAGCCGTTTTCTATAAATATAATTACAAAAACACGCTTACATCGAAATACTTAGATACAATTATATTTAAATTTCTATATTAAAAACAATGATTTACTACTTTTGTGATCGCCTTCGTGGACTTCCCATACTCTAATATATGTACGACGATACCATGTTTACAATGAATATTAAAATATACAAATTAAATAATAAATATCTATTTAATGTTTTTAATTTAAAAGTATTTCTATTTTAATTGGCAAAATGTAAATACGTACAAGCTATTATTAGATATTTATAATAAGAATTAGCACCGTCTTACAATTATTTTTCAAAATTTTTTTTATCTAATTTTTTCTATCTTTTTTTCTTTTTCTTTCTTAATACTTTCGAACTTATGTATATTCCTTATAGTCAATAAGTTAAAAGAGATTATCTTTATTAATGGAGTCACGAGTAAAACAAAGCTTTTATCAAAATAATGCGATTGTCAATTATTATAAATAATTTACCGCGGCAATTTTCGAATATTATTTTATTCGAATTTTCTCGATTAATAGAGCTTATCTTGAGTATTTTACACATTTTTCGCCGATTCTTTAATCTCGTCGAAAAATAATTTAGAAATATTAAATCTTTGAATGAAATTTTAATCCTTTGATTTTATTAAACTACAAAAATTAATAAAAACTCGATACTCTTGGTCGGTATGTACTTCATTGGCAGTGATTGTACATGGATGCTTGATTTATTTATTTTTATTTTGGGCACATTAGAGAGCTTATGCTATCTATCCAATTGGCTTTATTCTACTATCTAAAAATATAAATATATTTGTCGGACTCAAGAAAAACTATCTACGTTAATGTGTTATGTATGTACCAAATGCATTACCTAAGCAACTCATAAATAAAATTATCGAGAACATTTTCAGTTCTAACGAATAATTAAATAAATTAGTATTAGTTCATTTGAACTCCAGCGAATATTCAATACGATTCAATATACGACGTATACGTTTATTAGAATGTTCATTAATGAGTCTCACACGAATCACACGAAAGTTTGGACTTTTTCCTCTTCTCTAACATTATATTGTAACACATAATTATGAATATAGGAAGCACCTGCTTTCAAATTAAATTATGCTCTCATTATCGCCTCCAAGTGTTCATTTAATTTAATCATCATGTTGAATAAAAAATCTAATTACAAAATAGATTAGAAATATCAAAAAATGTACTTAGGCTAAACCTTTAGTGAAATTTTAATCGACTTAAAATTACTTATATAAATAGTTAGGAGTATTTTACTTTCATGAACAGAACCAAATTAAATGCGTCGCAAGACATTATATCCTCTAGAATGAAGATAAATTTCAGACATTTTCTGTTTTATTTTGATAAATTAATTAACTTATGATGCCAAAATCGATTAAATTTGGTTAACAATTTAATAAGTCATTATTTCCTTTATTTTCCTAAAACTAGTGTCAATGTCAAAAACTACCTCAACATTTCAAATAGAGAGGGTAAAATAATTATTGTTTATTTAAATGTTTGAGATTAGATTATATGAAGTTAGAAATTTACAAATTAGAACTATTGATTAAATATTATATTATGTGTGTTGTATTTGTTGTAATCGTGAAAATATTTTAAATAAATGTATTGTCGGTAAAGCAGGAGTCTAAACAATTTTATCATAAAAATCCTATTCGATACTTACGTTCTTTCTACCTAAATGTAATTCAGGTTGAATAAAAAAAACCTTCCATACCTTGCCACAATTCGAACGATCATCGAGAGTTAAGTAATTTCTCATTGGCATTAGTAAATTTTCATAAGGATCGGTATTTAATTTATATTCTTGCATTGCTGTATAAATTGCTTTGAACGGTGGCTGTTTCTCAGAATGAAAAGTGCCTCTAGAACCATGAAGAACCAAAGCACCATCTTTCTCAGCTTCGGAGCACACAGACATGTACATACAATGATCGGGTCTATAATTATAACGACATGAGTAGACATATAATTTCTCCGGATGATAATGAAATATGATATTAATAATATCTTGATCTCCCCAAGTAATTTTCAATTGATACTCTTTGTGAATGGGTATGACATATTGCGTCCATTTGAATTCTCTCATTCTAGTCAAATTCATTAGCATCACACCAGAATTTACTCCTAGTTTTCCATAATATGGATGCTTAGCGAAGCGGTTATACCAGCCAGTATTTGGATCTTCGTGTTCTGGGCTTAAAGCTGCAAGCTGAACATTGTTCATTTTTTTAAATTCATCCCATATTACTTCTGGCGGCGTTAAAAACAAAGTGTCCGTATCAACGTATAAAATTGCATCGGTATCGTTTAATACAGTCTGAAAAGTCAACAAGCTTATGAATTATTTGACAATTGGTATGCCAACTAAATTTTTAATCATGACATTGAGATTTTCAAGTAATTGATTATTAAACAAATTAGTCGAATAAATTAATGTACTATAATATCATTATTAACGCTTTAAATACCCAATTTCATACATAAGATGGAATATTAAAAACTTTATTATATTATAACTCTCATGCACAAGGATTGTATTCTACAAATAAATATTTACGTACAGGAAGAAACAGTCGTTGAGCTGCACAGGGTTTAAATAGTTTTCGCCACATGGTGACATCGCTAATATCTGGAAATGTTACAGGTCTAACGACAAAGTCAAATGTTTTATTCACAATTTGCTTCCATTCGGTCAGTTTTTCATGGAACGCTGGGATAAGCTCGTAATCGGATATAACGATAAAGCGAAGAGGTCTTTTAGAGAATATTAGAGCAGATTTAAGCATTGTCAAAGATTCATCGAGTCTGTTGTCGCCACAGGCAACGACGCATATGACAACTTCATCCTCGATGGGTTTAACACTTTTTTTGGATGATTCGGCAAACATGTTGCTCGCGCGATTACGTACATGGTTAATTTTGTTAGATATATTAGTTTGATAATTTAACAAAATGAAGAGACCAATGAAGCCAAGGCCCAACAACAATAATCTATAAAATGATTTCATATTTTTACCAAGTTCATTCTCAACTAAACATAATTATTGTCATGATGATGTATGTTACAACGTCCGAAGCAAACATGCCCAAACACTATTTTTAATCAGCATCAGTTTACTTAAGTCGAGTATCAAAACATAGTTTCTAACCTTCACTTCAATAACTCGCCTTTTTTCGGCTTTATTACAAGCGACTTTGATTTAAACCTAATCGAACCCATTACCAATGTTTCTCCATAACAACGATACGTTGCATTTCACGCGCCACGATTACTTATCTTATATCCTACAATTTTGCTTTACCACTGTCTTGGGAGAGCGACGAAAAAAATGTTCAAATCCCTCGTTTTGCTCCCTCTTCTATTATCTTCTATGATATCCTGATTAACGAAATACTTTACTCTATCGTTGTTTACGTCCTTGGCGTCTCGATGGTAGCGCCCCTCCCTCTCGTGGCCACTTCACGTACGACAAATATACGAATAATCCCATTAGGAGTCCAAATGAAAGTCCTTAATTGCTAATTTATGCGGCTCTGGAATTCTTAATAAAAAAATGTTAAGCTCTGCTCAGACGAAAAGGAATGACAGGCGCCGTTACCAAACTAATGGAGGGAGGGGCGGGCATTGATTTATTTAAAATGTTGTATTATTATTCGACATTCCTATAAATTGGATCTATGGAATTTACTATAATGAAATGACCGAAGGAAACGAATGGATGAACGCATGGGCGAGCGCCGATATTGCAAAGGATATTTCCTATTATTAATTTGTAAATTCTAGATGTTAGGGTAATTCCTCATTGACATTAACGTAAAAGATCATTTGTTCAATAGTTCATATCGCCGGCCAACATTATTTTTTTTAAAATGATTTTAAATGAAACGGTGGCATTTTATGCAGAAGCTTAGTATAAAATTCATCGGTCTAGTTGCAAATGATCTATTTAATGGGATTATCGTACGATTTATAAAGTCGAGAAATAAAAACACAGGGCATCATTTTCAGTTGTATATTTCTAAATCTTCGCTTTATCCACAAGACACATTCTAAATTTTTCGTACAACCGGAGATGTCTCTTTTGGCTTAAATTTACTATATTAAATCGGTAAGTGAAAACATACTCCTTACTCGGACGACTGACACAACGTATAAAAATCAAAAAATATCGATGGCGATGGTTCACACAATTAACTACGTCTTACTATCAAAGTAAATATTGTTTATATGTAATAGTTTAATGTATTTATATTGGGCTGCATTCGTCGTCAATATCGTCTCTCTTAAATAATTGTACATTCGAATGTCTTTGCGCGTGTACGTGTGAAAGGACGTAGTACGAAAAAGTATGAAAATCTTAATGTTCCAATAAAAATTTTCCAATGAATTGTTATTGAAAAAATGTGAAAATATTCTCTGACGGTTATTTTTCTTCTTCTTCTTCTTATCTCTCTCTCTCTCTCTCTCTCTCTCTCTCTTTTTTTTTCTTTTTTGTAATTTACTAGCAGCTTATGGGCATTATGCATTTTTATTAGAATATTAACATTTTTATTCTTTTTCTTTCTAGAACAAATTTCATGTAATGAAGTTTCTTGAATCGTAAAATACTTATAATTTTAAAGTTTAAGAACAGCATTGTAAAATGTATATAACGTGAAACGCAAAATAAGAAGGGCTTATAAGAGAGACGGAATTCACTGAAAACACGCTGTTTTTTTTTTTTTTTTTTCCCGTCATTATAACAGTGTTTACGTCATGAATGCGTTGTAGCATAGCGTATTTAATCTAGCATATTTTATATATTTCTTATTTTTTATATTTTCTTCTTCGTTTGCATTCAAATTTTATCCTTCTCCATTCTTCATTCTTTGGTTGCAATATTTCAGCTTCTTCGCCGGTCGCTTTTTCCAGTCGCGAGCGCAAAACAAAAAGGTAAAGAGAAGAGGCAAGAATTTTTGTTCAAAAACTTATCACAGCTCAATCAATTTTTTTTACATACTTGATATACTATCAACATACATTTTAACTTTATAACTTTGTGCGCTAATTAATTTTCGTTATTTAATAACAAGTATTCTTGATTAACAAAGAAATTACATTTTTTTTTTTTTTTAAATTTTATTATTATTATTATTTTTTTAATATAAAACTCTCGGTTAATAAATCTTCAATATAGTCCTTCCATTATTTCATTAAAAATAAACTTCGGTACTTTAAATGTATCATTAAAATAATTAATTCTTATGGAGTCCTGCTTACTACTAATAATAGAAATATTACTCGAACGAAGAATTAATAATCAAAGCGAGCGTAGATTAAAAAACAAATACTTATAATGTTACAATGTAAAACAAGTACTTAAAATAAAAGAAAATATAATTGCGCCCGCGCGCATGCACGAATAACAAAACATAAAAATTCTACGTTCCCAAAAACCAATTTTTTCTTCATCTTTTTTTTTTTTTTTAACCTAATAAGGTAACATGTTTTTAAACACATAGTGTTTGAAAATTTCTCAGGATTTGCCTTTTTGTATTTACGCAATAATTGCAATCGCGACAGACTTTGATTTCGTTTTTAATAATAATAATAATCGCAACTGATTATAAGACAGCACATCTTGTGTTCAAACACGCAGATAAATGAATAAAATACTCTTCTAGGATTCAAAATTACATGTGAAAAACGTAGCTGTGATTTTTCAATTCAACAATCGGGAGTACTTTTATTTATTATTATTATTTTTTTGTTTATTTGTTTCGTTTATATTTTTATTTTATAGAAATTTCGCAAGAATTATTTAGAGGCATACGGTACAGTACATCGTTGAGTACGACTTACGGATATCTAGAAATTTACATTACGCACGCGACGACATATCGTTTATGCTAAATGAACTCGGTGTATTGCACAAGCATTGAATTATCATTGTGTAGCTAAGATTTACTTCTTATATCAACGAATGAAATGGTTATGAAGAAACTCTTGGGTGAATAAAAGCTTGGGAATTTTACAGGCATGCCAATACAACCGACAGATTTATTAGCAGATAAGAGCCGAATCAATCGGGGAAATATTAATATTGAAACTCAAAGCGAATTGAAATGATCGTTAAGCAGTCACCAGCGATTCTACATGCCTTCGCGACTAGTGCTTTATGAATCACTGCTGCTTAACACGTCAAATCGATCAAATTTAACACCAAAATCATAGAAAGTGATTTTACTCTGAGAGTTCAGTTAAGATACAATAGCATAGGTTAAATCAAAGTTGAAAGTGAAAATCTAGCCGTAGACCTTGAATATTCTATTCCTATTCTCACTGAATCCATGATATCGGAGTTGTCGCGCACACGTTTACCTTCAATGAAATAATTAAGCTACGGATGTGACCGAAGGTCAATTCGTAATTCTGCGTATGCTTACGGTTATAATTTACGATTAAGATCACGCGAATTCACGAGATGTTGGTCAATAATTATTTATCTCGGGCAGAGTGTTTAATGGCTGCAAATATCGTTTATCTTTGGCTCTCATGAGAATTATGGTAAAATGTTCGAATGTGGAACAAAATTTGTGAACAATAATCCAACGTTAAACTCATCGGTGGCGATGGACCGAAACCTGACACGAAAATGCGGAAGTGTTGCAGCCAGTGTTTTATTCCGTTTTATCTTATTCTTTCTTTCAGACAATGTTTCTTATTCTTCGTTGAATATAGTCTATTCTCGATTATTATCATACAACGCTTAAATGCATATCGACTCGAGGCATGAAATGCGAAGACAAAATTATACGCTCTACTTTGGTATTAATAATTAGAAGCAAAGCTGCACCCCTCTCTCTCTCTCTCTCTCTCTCTCTCTCTCTCTCTCTCTCGCTCTTCCCCCTCTTCCCCCTCCCCATCCCCATCATGTACTAGTCAAAAAAGCCTAAATAAAGAGTATGTTAAAAGTGTGCAAAGAAGTTAGAAATATTTTACAGAGTTAAATTCAAGGGTAATATATTTTGGTTGAATGCACTTACTTGTCTTTCTAATTTATCGAGTTAGTCGAATAAAGACACAAGATATACCTTTCATTATTTCAAAGCCCACCATAATCGCTAATGTCGTATTCATATTGAAATTAGATAATACTAATCATGCATATATACGCATGTATGTGTGCATTATTTGGGCTGTATAAACATTTTTTGTGAAACAGAAATTTATGTTACATTAGTTTTACTTCTTCATTGATATTTTATTTAAAACAAAGTTACCATTCGATTATAGCTAAAATGCAATACTATGCAATCTGCATTTTTAATTTTTTGCAATTAAACAATTGTAATATAGTAATATTAAATTCTCTGATTTTTCTTATATATATATATATATATATATATATATGTATCCAAATAGTTATTGAGCGCGGCTTAATTTTAAAACTATTTGAAATAACTATAATTTCTTGTAAAACGTGCTTTAATGTTTATAACATTAAGACTATTTAGATTATAATAAGCAAATTGTGTTGTTCTGATTGAGCAACGTAACAAATTTTAAGAACTACGTACTATCGTATTTACCGCGTTAATAATAAAATGATATCTTGATAAGGAGACAACCTGAAATCTTCAATTGTTTTGTAATGTTATTTTGGCGAGTTAAAACATGGATATTAATTATGCACACAATACCTATAATTACACGGCGAATGAACTAAATTAAAAAACAAAAACAAAAAAAAAACAAAAAAAAAACAAGATGATACATATGATGAAGTGCCTTTAGATGAAATGGGCAGCGACATATGCATTTGTGCAAGCCAACGACCAACCATCCACAACAGGGATGTCCGATTCAAGTGGGGACTCATTATTAACCTAAATGGTATGTGAAAAAAATACTTGCTTGGAAAGTTAATTCACTCTTATTCAGATCATTAGTCTATGCAAAATATATATCGCAATAGAACCACGTAACATAGTTCTACAATGCTATGGCCTCATACGATGATGAATGTATTCATTTTATCGTAACCCAGGACATTGAAAGTATTATATACTATATAATAATAATAATAATAATAATAATAATAATAATAATAATAATAATAATAATAATAATAATAATAAAGGTCCTAAAAATTGATAAACTGAGTAAAGAAGAACAGTATATTATATTAGAGATAAGTGCGACAGTATCAAGAGCGATTAAAACAAATATACGTGAAAACAAGGCAAGTACTCACGATGGCAGAGTCTAAGATAAGCAAAAATTTAGCATTGAAGTGCAAATTGCAAACATAAGATTACTCGGAGAGTGATGACGACAACGAGCCCAAGAAATTTAAATAATAGACTGTTCAGTTGGTCGCATACAATAAATATAAAAATTAAGAAAGAAAAAAAAAGAAAAAAAGTAGTCCGTTTATTTTTAGTTATGTCTTATTAAATCGCTCTAGAATTGTACTATTAAGTCGATAAATTAAACGAGCATCATGCACTTGACTAAAAAAAATATTTCACGAAAGAAAATAAATAAAAGAATAATATTAGTAAAATTTGTAAGGCAAAATTAAATAAAATAATGAGAGATTAGAGATCAAGTATAATAGAATCACGATTATATTATGTTGTCATTGTCAAGCATCATTGGGCTTTGAATTATACTATACTTTATTCAAATCGATGTTTGTTTTGATCGTTAAGGAAGAGAGTTTTAAGTGCTTATCAAATACATTTGAAAAGTTCTAACAATTACGATACACAGAGAAAATAAAATAGATTTGCATGCTATTTTACCGCCGACTACTGGACGTTTATATATTCACCGCCACGTTTCCTGTTCATTTTTATCAATAGACATCTTTTATAAATCCAAAATCAATGCAAATAAGTTCGAAAATTATCGATATTAGTACTTTTAAATACTTTTAAATAGAGTTAATACTCCATTACGTCAAAATATTGATTGATCATTATTATTGATATTTCTTCGATAAATATTTCACGATTAAAATGTATTTGCTGTTATTGTGCACTATGTGAATGAAAACATATTAATTTTTTTTTTATCAAAGGATTTATTAAAAATTTGTAAATTATAAATTTATTAGAACTTATTAATTTATAAGATTTGAGAGCGCAGAGAAACGCAAGCTTTACTTTTTTCATTTTTTAGCCATTAATATGTAAAAAAAAAAACAAAAAAAATTGCACTTGATGACTAGTATATAATAAAAAACAAGATAAAATTTTTCATTTTAACAATAAAATGTTTAAAATGTGATAATAACTTACAATACATGTATAATCGCCATTATCTAACAAGTTCAGATTGTAAAAATTATAGTAATTGCTAATTATCTAAGAACAGTAATAATTAATAGCTTATGAGTAAAATAAAAAAATTCCATTTAAAAATTAGTTTGATAAATAATTAATCGTTAATATAATGAATATGCATCGAATGGTATACGGATGATAAAATCATTGACATGGAAAAGATTTTTAATTTTTTTTTTTTTTTAACAGAAATCTAATTGTTATATTTAATGGAATGTTTATTGTATTGAAGTTTTAGAGCTTTAGTTATGGAATTATACGAAATGGTAATAATTTTGTTAGAATTCATCATAAAATCAATCTAAATCTGGTTTCAATGTGTATTCATAATTGCATATAAAGAAAGACGTAAATCGTAAATGTTTAAAAATTCTCTCTCTACGATCTCATGTGTGTTTGATCTCATTTGTGTTTTTAAGAATTTATTTAAATACAAATTATAACTGTATATTTATTACTGCGACTTAAAAAAAAAAGAAGTAAAATAAAAAAAAAAATTTTCTATTTTAATATTTATATTAATGCCCATTGTATGGATAAATTAAGCTTTAGTAGAATTTGATTCAAAAGAATAAATTGAAAAGTGTTTAAAGCTTGATATTCATCATAATAAAGTAAAATATACTGTTTCCATTAATAAAGAATTAGTCACAAAATTGCTAATTAGTATACAGTAAAAACAATCAGTGAGATATAAAAAGAAGAAAAAAACCAAGAATTTACAACCAATCTAAAATCAAATATGTTTAAAATGTACTTATTCCGAACAGGAAGCTCATTCAGAATATTTAAGTATTATGAAATTCTATTTGGCCCATCAAGTTAATTACTGTACATTATCAATATACATAAATCAAGAAAGAAATGTTACAAAGGAATTCACTTATACACATTGATTATGTATAAATGTATATATTGATCAATGAACTATGCAGAAATAAAATAAACGTGTTACATATTTATAATTAAATGTATACTCTATTATTACAGAAACGCGTAATAATTTTTCTAGACATATAATTAAAATTATACGGATAAATTCTCATACGAAATAAATCACTTTTTAATGATGAACGTCAATGATACACTAGTCCTCGATATCAAAGGAAAAAAAAACATGGATTCTGAATTGTTTATCTGTTTTACGCTGTAAATTTATGATTTTAACTTTCATTTAACTCAAGATGTCAGTTTGTCCTACTTTTATCAAATATATCGATTTCGAAGAATTTGCCTACAAGAAAGTACATACAATCATTTTGAACTCAAAAGGTATAGAAAATTTTCTAAATTCTTATTGTATATACTAAATACTTATTAACTTTTAAAATAAACAATAATATAAAGTGTTATACTTGTCTGATTTGTATAGTATAAAAATAACAAAGTCTAGCCTAATACTTTAATTTTGATTGTATATGCTTTCTTCAAATTTTCATAGCTAAAATTATATTTAAAATTATAGGTAAAAGTAAGCACTTAATTGTACACACTTTAAAATGATATATATATATATATATTCTTTTTTATTTATAACAGATTATCAAAAAAAGAAAAAAAAAAGAAAAAAAAGAGGGAGGCTATTTATTTTATACGTAGCTCTCTATTTAGACGAATCTCATAATCGAACGTTCCTTTGGACTTTCGAATATAAAAAAAAAAAAAAAAAAACCACACAAATAGAATTTAAAAAGAACTATAAACGATGTAAAATTTTTTACCAAATAATTTATAATTGAATTTTTTTTCAATTTATTATGTAAAATTGGTATTTCGTTCTTTAGAAGAGATTACCAATGATGATAAACGACTTCTTTCCCCCTCCCCCACCCGCAATTTTTATCGTTCCATTTTGATAATAATTTTTCCCTTGCCCAACACTCATTTCATAGAATGAGATAAGCGACCGGACAATATTAAGATATGTAAATCACGAATAAAGTGAAAGATGCTTCGACGGCTTCGGCTGTCTTAAGGAGGTTAAAAAAGTGATATGCTAAGGTGCAAATTAAAATGAACTTTTCGCAAAAATTATAAGATGCTGATTGTCTATTAATTGTGAAAATAAAAGAATTTCCTTGCATAATGTCGAGATAATATCTCATAATCTACAATTCTTCCTGATTTATTTAAAAATATTTTTTAAAGTTTATGATTAAATCACATTAATTAGATAGTGTCTTTTAAAAATCTTGAATTTTTTTTTTTTTTTTTTTTTTTTTTTTTACAAAGAACTATCTAACTACATGTTTGAATCGGTGATAAAAACACTCACCCTTGAAAAAATATACTATCCAGGTCTTATTTATTGGACGGACGAAGGGTGATCGTTCATTGTTATGGAAGTTAAGGACTTTACATTTAGATATTTAGTCAATGACTTAATAAAGCGAGATTACAAATTATTAAATGCATCTATTAAGTACTGGAGTATTTTTCATTAGGTTTCAGCATTTCATCAGAACCTTCGAGATCATTGAGCGGAAGCTGTCGTACAAGTTCCATTGCTTCGAAACGAACAAAATGCATTTTACAAAATTAATATAATGCAGAAGGAGAAAAGTGCGTTACTGTGCAACTAATCGTGTATGTGTTGTCATGGTGCACCCTATTTGGCACTTTGCAATGCTGGTTTAATTCAACACAAGTGCCAAGAGCTTAACGAGTAGTGCAATTACAATGAAATTATAAATTTACATCTTTCTGCACAAATAAACTGTTAAAACTGCCAGGTAATATTCGCTTTGTACCACCATAGCCATTTTGTGCAACTAGTCAATTGCAAAAATTATCCGAGGAACGACAGTTTTTCATAATTCTATGTGAATTATGAAAATTTAAAAGTACCAAACGTGCAACACATAAACCATTATGTAAATACGATTTTAAATTTAACCAAATCTCTTTCATTTATTTCATTTTATAAGTGTTAATAACCTCTGTCGTACTTATTTTCCTCAGCAAATAAATTATCTATGATAGATATTTGCACATAAAACTTAAATTTTATTGAAATGTAAATTGAAGGAAACTTATAACTAAACTTATGAAACAAACAACAGTGTTACATACATTATGTTCGCATGCTTATGAAATTATAGAACTTTTTCTCCATAGATGCTATTAAAAAATTAAGGGGCTTCAAACTATCTAATGATCGTAATCAATGATTAGGCAGTTTTTATATAAGCAACTTTGTCACATGAAAAGTACTGCTATGTATAGAGCTTAATTGTTCTTTTTATGAACAATGCTGGTGCTTACTTTCTAATCTTTATCGTTTCTTAAATTCCTGCTATGTATAGAGCTTAATTGTTCTTTTTATGAACAATGCTGGTGCTTACTTTCTAATCTTTATCGTTTCTTAAATTCTGTTTTTTTTTTTTTTTTTTTTTTTTTTTTTTTTTTTTTTTAAAGACGAATATTATCGCACCTTATAGTAAAAGTAGAGTCGAATATTTAATACTTGTTCATTAAGAAAATGCTTAATGAACTACCTTTTGCGTGCTCTAGTCGAATTTTCTTTCACTAACATTCGCATGGTATCAGTTCTTGTGGTATGCAACTCACTGATAAATGCATGCGTGCCATGCATATTCCAGAGGTAAGCAAACTCGGCAACTTCTTAATTGTTGCAAAGTGAAACAAAAATTGTGCCTGCCACTTCAAAGAGTCTTGGCCTTTTCAAGTAAATCATTAATAAATTTCTGAAATACATATAACGCATGAATATTTTAAACCGTCAAATGTAAAAACAGTTTTATTATCGAATGTATAAGTCAATTTTACCTTGACATCATGAGGAGACTTCTTAGCGTCGACTAGCAGCTCCTATTTAGAAAAAGAAAAATATTACAATCGAACGCACAATGACGATATAATTTTATATAAATTATTAAAATATTTCAACGAAAGGGTTCTACGCTTACAAGTTATTAAGTGATTCAGAAATGAACAGCACATTCATTATTCAATTTATTTCATTTAATAATGACACATAGTAGACGTATATAAGAAATGATGTATTTAAAAGACTATTATTTACTTAAAATTCGTGCATCGGTGTTGAAATTAATTTTCATTCGTATTACAATAAATACTCTCTGCGGATCACTACTTGGGACGATTACTTGTTTTTACTTACTTGTAAATAGTTTCTTCTGTGATCATCACTGTCCATATCAAGTAGCTCATCGATATCAACTTCCACTTCCCTGCTATTTCCATTCTCGTTCTAAAATTAAAATCTTTAGTTTTATAATCGCTCAGCCTTGCTCAAAGTATAACATTTATGAGTTTTAAATTTCAAATACTCACCACAGACTCGTATAACTTTTGAAGTTCTTCGAAGAGCCACATTTCAACAGCAAGTCGTTTACGAATAAGAGACATTTGATGAGATCCATACTTGGCTGTTAGAAATTTTTCTCTACGTTCCTTTACTTCACCTTTCACAGTGAATGCAACGTGCAAATTTCCCCGAGCAGGACTGCGATCTGCCGTCAAAACACCTCCAGCTTCCATGATCTATAAATTTATAAGAAATCTACAAGAAGAAAAAAAAAAAAGAAAAAAAAATTAATATTAGCGTTTCATTTATTTAGCTGGAGTTTACTTTTTTTTTTTTTTTTTTTTTGAGTACTTTAAATACACGATAGATAATAATATTATCGAATGATATTTTTCGCTTAAATCATTCATAAACTTTAATTCCAAAGAGGACTAATTTTTACAAAATTAAACTTTAATATAAGAAATGAAAGATATTAGAATGTAAGAAACTAAAAATCAAAAATTCTTTATAAACTCTTCTTTTATAAAGCCTTTTGTTATTTAAAAGTGTGTGTCATATATTTACAGGTCCTTGAAATACAATATGAACAAAGAAAATAAAAGTGCCTATTGACATACTTGTTTCGATTGAATTTCACTGTAAGTGAATTGACAAAATTTATTCTATAAAAAAAAAAGAAAAAAAAAGAAAAAAGAAGAAAAAATGAGAAAAAAAACCTCTCGAAAATAAACTTTTATCTTAAAAAAATTTTAATATTCATCAAGATAAAATATATTATAATTACTAGTAAACAATTGAAATTTAAATTAAAAGTAAAAAAAATAAGCCTAATTAAAAAATTTACATAATTAAACATTAAAAGTTTTAAGTAAATAAACTGTTATTCCAATTAAAATCCTGAAAATCTTGCGATTTACTATATAAATTTTATTATTTATAATGTGCATTAAAATAAAATAATAAATATCAATAAATTTCCTATAATTGTTCGGAAACTATCATTAATAAATAACAAGTGTATTGGTTGTTTGATGATTACGATTGTCATAATTGCGAAATGTTGACATTGCGATTTGCTTAAAATGAAAAATGAATTTGTGACGAATTAAAAAACTTGCCACCATAAAATTCGATAGTAATTTTTAAAATTTCATTATTAATAATCTAAAGATACGTGGTTTTTAGATCGGTATAGGCGAACTTTTATTTAAAAGATTAAAATCGGCGAAATCATTTGCAAGTACCGCCACCGTACACATGCGCACAAGCGTAAACATGCATATGCCTCCGCTCATTGACACGCCCGTACGCTTTTTAAAATTGATGTGTTTTCATTCGGTTATTCTCAGAATGCGTTTCCGTGTTATATTAAGCGATATTCTTCACTATAGCGAATAATTTTCTTAGAAATCCATGATTAAAAATTTCATTAATTCTGAGTAAAGCTATTTAAATAGGCAGCTATTTAGCTATTTAAATATACAATAATTAGAATTGATTATTAACCAATACATGTGACTTAATATATTAAAAATTTATCTGAATTGTGAATAACAAATACATTGTTTTATAATTGTTGCTGTAATTGTAAGCTAATGTTGATAAGGAGTGCACTATAAATGAAATACATTCAGCGGTTAATATTTTAAAAGTGGAAAAATAATATTGTTCCAACAAAATGCAAATGTACACGATCAAAAAAGTTTATAAAACGAAAAAACCACGTTTTATTCTTATATTTGTACACGTTTTGTTTCAACATCGATAATATTCTGCCTTCGTGTCACCACATACTCTGACAATTATAAGCACTATTAAAGGCTGGGCCTTAGACATTAATACTAACATGCAATGTATTATGTAAGAAAGTGGAAGCACGTTTGAGCTTCGACAAAGAGAAAAAAGCACAAGTGCATACGAAACTACATGTTAATGTGTATTCACTACCCTCCCCCACGCCGCGGCCGTCACCGCCCTGCCAATCACGTGCAGGAGAATGAAGACGAAATTTTTATGCGGCAATCATCAGTCGTCGTTCCCCCAGAAAACTTGGGAATACGTATAAAGCTCCGGACGCTCGTACTACCAACAAACCTCGAACGCTTTTAATCATTGTGCGCTCTGCGGATCCATTGTTTTCAATTCAATGGTACACACAATACATGAAGAGTCGGCGACGTCGGTAAGCTGAAAAGGGGAGCGAACGAAGGCACACGCATTGAATTATTTTTCACGGCTCCGTGAGCGCGTCCGACTCTCTACCAACGCCTGGACATTCCTAAAGGATGTCTAATTTCCGCGTGCCTTCGCCTCTGCGTTCCCTCCCAGGCCCCGCCGCCGTCACAGTCACAGCCACAGCCGCTGCCGCTACGGCTGCCGCTACGGCTGCCGCCACCTCCATCACCGCCGCCCCACGACACCGCCGTCACTTTACTCAATCACTTTGCTCTCTCTCTCTCTCTCCCTCATGCGTACACACACACGCGCGCGCGCGCGCAAACACCCGCCGCTCAGACACGAACGCACGCACGCACGCACGCAGATAAAACAACAGCAGCAGAAGCAACAGCAGCAACAACAATAATTATGATTATAATTATTATAATGATAAAGATAACAATGATAACAATAATAATGATAATAATAGTAATAATAATATCAATGACAATAATAATAGTAACAGCAGCAGCAACAAGAACAACAATAACGATAACAAGAATGACAGTAGCGACGGCAACGGCAACAACAACAACAATAATAATGATAATGATGATAATAAGACGCGAGGCGAGTATACTCACGCTCTCCGTCTTGCTGCTCGTCGTCGTGTCGTCACTAAACTTTTGTCGCCGAGTTGTTATACGAGTGAAAGACGGCGCGGAGGAGGAGGATGAAGAGGAAGAAGAGGAGGAGGAAGAAACGAGGGGCCGAAAGCTTTTATGCGCTGCTACGACGATGCACCGCGGCGACTGAAAAGTGTCGAGTGAACAGCGGACGCGGACTTGGAAAATAATCCCTTCCTGGCCACTGATCAACAAGCAATCAACCGATATTTTATTGGACGGTCAACGGCACCACACGCGAAATAAAAAGTCTTCTTCGTTCGGCGGAATAAGATGAGAAGGAGGAAGAGGAGACCCGTACAGCGAGATGGTCTATAGCGGAAAGCGGCCAATGCGCGAGTCTTGCTCGCGACTCCCGACTCCCGACAATTGTTTTTTTTCTCTCTCTCACTCCCTCTCTTTCTCTCTTTTTTTTTTCGCCGCCACCGCCTCTGCCGCTGCCTCTGCCGCTGCCGCTGCCGCTGTCGTTGCCGTTGTCGTTGTCGTTGTCGTTGTCGTTGTCGTCGTCGTTGTCGTTGTTGTCGTTGTCGTTGTCGTTATCGTCGTCGTCGCCTTGGAGGAGTATTACACACGCGTGTATATGCAGACGCCCTAGAGGGCGCTTACATAATCCTTTGGACGCTTATGCGCTCTCCCATGCTATCGCTAAACTCTTTGCTCTTTGCAATAATTGTCATTAATGGGTCCTTAATCAGGATGGAGTTTGCCGGGGCTGCTTTACCGTGTTTACGCACGGAATCGCACACTTATAATATACTTATAATATAATGCAGTTTTCATGGATATTTTGAGATTTATCGAGCTCTCAGTGAGCTTAATCGCCCAACATTTAACACGCCTTATTGTATTGGTAGAGCGAAATAAACGCGATGTAAGCGGGCGAATTAAAATTGTTAATCGACAGATTAACATGACATGATTTATTGTAGTGTGACTCGGTGTGGGGTAGAACGAGCGCTCGGCTTATCGCGTAAAGATTAAATGAAGTAAGAAGTGGCGGACCGACGAGAGCTTGGATCGATCGTTAAGCTTAAAGTGCTCGATCGGTTGACGAGTCGTTGAATTAGTTAGCAGGAACGGATGGCGAATTATCGAATTGTAGCTGAACGCTGCCCCGTTCGATCGCCTTATTTCCAATTGAAAGGCAATTCGGCTCGGGATACTGCATCCGACATAAATTTCTGCGTTTTGAATGTCGCGAGCGTGAAAGAGGAAGAACTTGGAATATTTTGAATTTCGATAATCATTGGTTGAATGCGGACTGTCATTCGAGCTTCGATTCGATCAATCAGATCAAAATAACCTAACTCGCGGCTTTACAAAATTTCGAGCTTACGCAGAGCTGGTGCTCGTGAAATTTGAAAATTCCACGTGGATATTGGAATAAAGAATTAATTTGTAATTAAGACGTTCGGAAATGGCAAATCTTAAGAAAGCGGTTCTAAGTGTGTACTATGATACTTATAAATGGTGAGAATAATCGTTAATCTATTGCAAGACTGTGTATACTCGATGTTTGTATAACATTTATAACCTTAAACAGTTGGCGTTCGCTAATTGTTTTATCATTAGTTAATAATGCATTCGGCCAATTTATAAGCGACTGGGCAATAACAACTATAGTCGTTTATGAATATTACGCTCTCATAATTAGAGAAAGACCTGTTAATATTGTTTAAAAATTTCTCACATAATCTTCAATGCCCAATTAGCAATTTTATACTTTATATTATTAACTTATGATTTTTCTGCCCATTATGTGCTTATAAATAATTACATAATATTTCTAATGTTTTATTAGAATTTCTAAAAGTGAACTTATGATTTTAGGTCGTTAATAAAGAGCGTAGGAATATTTGTCATTGGGATAAGAATTGCATACAGTTGTAAAGGAATAGACTTGATGGCTGCTGCGATATAAATCATTAAAATAACATTTTCTATTTGAAAAATTATTTAAATGTATGTAAATTAAAATATTATATTTGTAATGTACATATAATAATAAGAGTGATGTGTAATGTGGTAATGGTAATACACTAATTCCTTGGTTGTATTATTATTTATGTCATGATGTTTAAATAAAAATGAAATTTCAATAAAAATGTAATTTTATTTACCGAAATAAAGCTATTTGCAATAATTTGTTATTATTCGTTGTTCTCGTATTGAACCGCTGAGCAAACAAAACTTGAGAAAGTTATTTATGCACACATTTACAATGCATAATGTCCATGAGTAACAACTAGTAAACGGCTAAGTACTTCATTCGCATACATAACCTTAATTCATCATATTTTATTCGGTCACGATATTGGCAAAGAACTAAAGAAATAATATTTATCATATAGTACCCTAAATAAATATTGTTTTTTTTGTGCGCTCAAGTTTTCGAAATAATAAAATTGTTGAAAGAATTGACTCTGATTGTTAAAAGTTGGCAAAAGTTGTGCTCATGTAGCTTTGGAAAATACTTATAATTTCCATTAAAAATTTAACTAACTATTTAATTTCAATATTTCGATAATTTAAAAGTATTTAGACGAAATTCTACCGCAAAAGAGAGAATTTTCATCAAATAGAATGGAGGATAATAAAGTAAAGATTGAAAATCCTGATCTACCAGGTAATGGGGAAAAAAAAAAAAAAAACAGAAGACAGTTAATTAAAATAGAATAATTAATTAATAGTTTATATATGTTAAATAATGATTACAGTTGTTGTCGAAGCTCTGTTTGATACATTAAGCGATAAAGATGACATGGTACAACTATCTGCTATCGAATCCATAAGGACATTATCACGTAAAAAACCTTCCCTTATTATTCAGACTGCTGTTTCTTTTTTGGAATTGTACCAGAAGGTTTTTATATAATACGATAAAAATTACGATTGTATTGTCAGTCAATTTTGTTAACTGGAATGTTTATTTAGAGATTACAAAATCATAATTCGATCGTTGTTATAAAAATAATGACGGATGTTTGTCAAAATCTTGTTACACCTCTGGATGAAACTTTAGCAATATCTGTTGCAAATTTAGCTGTGGAGACGATTGAGGCTGGAACGGACGAGGCATCGGACTTGTTGGTCGCATTAAGCAAAATTCATTGTTCGCAAGCAGTAGGAGCATTAGTAATAAAGTATATATTAGTATTATTTAATGCTTGTAGTTTAAAAGCATTGCAAATGTTATGATTGCCTGAAAATTATATATAATTCATTTTTAGGTTTAAGCCAAATACAAGGCCACACTATACAATAATAAGAGCTATAGGAATGATTGCGGAAAAAAATTCCACAGGAATATTTCCATTCATAAAAGTGGCATTAAGTATCTTAGAATCATTGTTGCTTAGTATGCACGAAGAATCGTTTAGAATAGCAATTGCCTTTAGTGAGACTCTTTTATAACATTAATTTACCATAAAATTTCTATAAAAAAGCATTTTAAAAACGTTGTATAAACTTGCAGCTTTGGGAAAAATATCAGATGCGATTCACGATTGCCCTACAAGCACGGAGATAGTTCCTAATGCAGAACTACGCGAAGATATGCTTTACGACGAGCTTTTAACTGCTTTCGAAGTGTTGATCGAATGGCTTTGCACAAGTCGTAATATAATTTTAATAGAAAATATTTTAATAACACTTGCTTCAATTTTACCTTTTCTACCGAAAGACTATAATTATATATTTATTTTGAAAGTTATTCCTACTCTGTTGAATTTGTGTAAAAAATTTAATGTGAGATTAGCTGCCTCAAGGTTTATTTTTTCTCTGCATACGTTTATCAATAATTTTGATACAATTCATTTATTGTCTCTTTATTTCATTATATAGACTGCTTGCGATAATTTTAAATACCGTAGCGTTTCATGTAAAGGAACTTCTTCAACCCTTGTTGGAGCAAATACATCAGACATTGTCGGAAATGATTAGCATCGCACCTTTTGACGATACGAGGGATGCATTATTAACTCATTATGAAGTCTTACAGTGTTTCCGAGCCATTGTAATTTTATATCCAAGAGAGGGATTGGATCGGTATATAACTGACTAACCAAACCATCAAAACATTGCAATTTATGTTCGCGTATAACGATTGTATTAATTATAGGCTCTTGCAACAATTAAAATCGCAAAACATCACTCAACGCTCTCGGTCATTAGTCGTCCTTAGACATCTCATAAATACTTTACCAGCAGAAGTATATTTCATTTATTAATAAAAAATGATCGCCGAGCCATTAATGTCATAATGTAATTTATTAAAAATGTCATCGTCAGGATCACGAAGGACTTCGAAGAATCGCCCTGAATCTTCAAGATTCATTGGGTGAGAAAACCACTCACCATATTGTTGGCGCAATCGTAGCTTTAGCTGCAAGACCAACTCTGCCACTCTTACCTTCTCAACTGTCGTCATTCATAAAATTCATGGTAATTAAGCTGTTGATAATTTGAAATGTTATTTTAATTTATAATCGTAATTTTAGGTCATGCATTCTAACTTGGAAACGGATGAAGGAGTAGCTTGCGAGGAAGCTTTACATCTTCTATCCAGCACGGTTAACGGAGCTGAAACATGGCTTTGGCCGTTGCTGATTAAAGCTTTGTTAGATCCGTTAAACACAGCCTCCGTAAGCATTTCAACTGTGTATTTTCTAATGGAAATAACTTTTTAACAAACAAGCTAATTTAATCATTATTACCAGCAATAAAAAATATTTATAATCAAACGTGTTTATATAAAAAGATTTAGAACGTAATTTTCAATCTTATTATTAATAATTGACGCTGTTTATAAAGTTTTTTTCATTCAACATCACACGTATATATATATATATATATATATATATATATATATATATATATATATATAAGCACATAGCGATATTATTTATTAAAAAAATATAAAAAATAAAAAAAAATAAATAAATAAAAAACAGGCCGTCTCGATTTTACGTGCCTTGGCGCCTCTGGCTGTTAAAATAATTCGAGACGAGAATAATCTCGCCGATCAGAAGGACTTTCAAAGCTTGAAAGTTTTTGGCCGCTGCTTGGAGCTCTTGGAAAGCGAACGAAATCAATCAGCTGTCATTGCCTTTCTTAAATGTACGGCACCACTTTTGGGGCATCGACTGAAGCCACAGTGGGACACTAAGCTTACCGAATTATCGAAATTCTTGAATCAATGTGCGGAGACTATGACGGAGGTAGAGAAAACGCAGATTTGGGAAGAGAAAATCGTTGAATTTGTGGAAGAGAGCGTTAATTTGGAGGGCGAGTATTGGGGTTTAAGATTGGCGGACGAATTAATGGGAAAGACCATCACTCCATCGCTTTCGATCATTTTAGCGGCTGTAGCCAGGGAACCAATTCATATTACAATATTGGTTGAATCAGCGCGGATGCATAGTGTAATTAGTACTGGACAAAGGTATTTCATCATTATAATTTTAATTTGGATTTTCAATTTGGACGCTTGTCCAAATTGCAGCTTCGTATTGCATAATTGCAAAGAATAATAATTGAAATCGAATCATTTTTATTGATAAAATTATATTTAGATTTAGCAGTCGGCAATATATTTATTTGCCTTGGTCCAAATCATTTCAAGTAAATAAATAAATAAAAAAAACAAAACAAAACAAAAAAGAAGCCCCCTCCCCCCCGCTCCCGTTATTAGCTTAAACCGCCCGCTTAACACTTACCATTTACCGCAGACCCACATCCAGTAAGTACGCAAGGGCTGTAGGTATCTGTGCAAAAAATCATTTGGAGAAGGTTTTGAAAATCATGTTGGGCTTTTGCAAACTCGAAGACGTGAAAAAGCAACCCGTAAGACTTCTTGGCTGGATTAGAGATGCGAAAGCCGCGACAATTAACGAAGCGACCAAAGCTGGTTTGTTGATGGCATACGCAGAAATTGCAAAAAGAGGAGATGCCACGGCTTTGTTTCCTACCTTGGATAAGGAGATTTTTCCTTGGATCGTAGAGCAAGTATACAGTTGCAAGGAAATAACGACGAAAGAAGCCGCGCTCGTTGCCTTAGAGCAAGTAATTACATAATTTAATTATTTAAAAAAAAAAAAATAATAAAAAAAAATTGCCGTTAAAGTAATCAAAGTTTTTATGTTTTTAAATAATAATTGATATACACTATGAGGTATTCGACTTGTCATGTGAAATGTTTTATTTTAAAAGAAGCAATGTTAAAGCAAGTTAAAGGAGATCAATTTTCTCCACTCTTCTCCAATCAATTAAACTTGTTTTCGTTACTTGTCATCCTTTTTCCTACATAGACAAAACAATGTTAAAACAATGTTAAATGTTATTTTATGCTTATAAGAGTTGTGAAAGAAATATTTAAATTCTATTAAACGAATGTGTGTGTGTGTGTGTGTGTGTGTGCGTGTGTGTGTGTGTGTGTGTGTGTGTGATTGTGTTTATAGGCAGGTGAAGCCATTCATCCCAATCGATTACCCAACTCACCGGGTTTTTATGATCGAGAGCATGCTTTGCAAATTCTTTTGAGACTTTATCAATCACCCACCGGCTATAAGCCATTGCAGTTGTATCCATTGATTTTGAAAGCAATACTATCGTTAATGTATCCTTTACAAAAATAATCCACTTTCGATTTCTGGAGCCTACAAACATTCCTTAACGTATATTTAGAAAGTTACCTCCCGTCTTGACCGACGAAGAGAAAGAGGTACTTCTTAAAACAACGATTGATAAAATAATACCAGCTAGCAATCAGGTATATATTATTTATTTTTCTTGTATTTTCTTTGTATTTGAATAAAAATGTAATTTTGACATTATCGATTATATTTAATTTCATTTGTGAATATATAGATCGAGGAGATGAAGATGCCGCAAGTCATGCAACAGACTATTGAATATTTGGGCACTATCAGCAGTGAAACTGTTGCCAATTCAGCAGATACTTTCGCATTGTTAGTCGACATTCTCATATCGTGGATGGAATCTGTATCATCTTTCAACCGTAGAAACGTATTATTTGTTCTTAGAACGACTCTTAGGTAAGGTAATGATAGGATAATGTCGTGAAATTGTGAAATGCACATATGACGTATGGCGGTAATGCTACCTTAATGGCATTGAATGTTATAACGTTATGCCATTAAGACATAGATGCCTTAAAACATATTTTATCAATCGAATATTGTAAATAAAAAGAAAAAGAGGAATAATGTCGTAAGGGTAATACGTAAAATAACGTGATAATATTTTGTTTTTTTTGTTTTGTTTGTTTGTTTCTTTTTCTTTTTTTTTTCTTTTTTTTTTTTTTTTTTTAGATCTTATTATGATTCATTGAAATATACATATCCAGGAGGGAAATTGGAGCCAGGCAAATTACTTGGAATGATTTTATGTTGGAGCGCAGATCCTGAATTTGCATTGAGGCCACTGGTGGTCGATTGCGTTGCTTTGGCATTAAATATTGGGGCAAAATATCGATCTACCATGCCGGATAATAATTTCAATCACGACTTGAATGAATCGAAGCGAATTCTCGTTAGCGAAGATACTAATTTCCTTTACGACGGCATAAAGGTAAAGAAGGAATTAATTAAAAAGCGCAACAGTGAAAATCATATAATTCGAAATCTGTCTTAAAAAAAAAAAAAAAAAATCCAAACAAATAAAATATTATTATACTACTTTGATTTAAGTTTATTCATTTATTAATTTTTGCTTTTTGTTTTAAAAACAAGCTAATGTCGTCGATATGATTTATTAGAGTCTGGCGGCAGCGGTTAGCGAGAGAATATCAGGTACGGAAATTGTAAGCCTAACCCACGGCCTAATCAAAGGATTATTGTATCCGTCAGAAGCAAAAATCGCCGCTGCATTAGCCCTATCGGAATTATTTAAAATTCGTGGCTTGGAATTTCCACGATCGAATCTCGATGTGGTCGGTAAGAAAACTTTTCAATTAACTTTGAATATTTCATATAATTCCTATAAAGACTCCTATCGCCTATAAAGAGGCTATTCCCGGTTAAGGGCGCAGCTTCTCCGAGAATTTTAGTGGCTTCGTCGGGCCTTGATTGCCTGTGTATTGCACCAAACAACGAGTAAAAAGTTCCTGCTAGCGCTGAATAATATCAATGTAACTCCGCTGAGCAAAAATGGTAATTCATTTGTAGTAAATAATGCTTTAGAGTCATTAATGTCGGTAAAATTGAGTTTATAATGAAAAGAGTGTTGGGATCGACTTAAACTTTAAGCGGCTGCCCCGTTGTTTCACCTGTTAGGCATACACGACTCACTCGGATGCCCCGTAGACTCAAATTATCGATACAACCGATGATAATTATTAGCCTATCCTTATCGGGATAATCATGCCAATTGTTTATCCTTGAGCGCTTTCCCGTCGGTCGGGCATCCCATTCTCATCGTACTCATTGTCATCGCTCTCACCTCTACTAGATTAGCCAGTTGTTCGTGAACATCGGATCATCTGCTCCTTAGGGTGTGCTCTTTAATTTTGTCTTCGTCGTTTCTCTCTATCAAGCAAGAACGATTAAAAAATCGATCGTTTAACAATCGTTCCGGAAAAAATTATTTAAATATTTTATCGCGACTGGCCACATGAGTATTTATTTACGTAACTCTCATCCTTGAACTATCAATGAGAATATATGTTCGTAAAAATTATTGCATTTTTATAATATCGTATGATCGAATCGCGATGCCTCTCAATTACATATATTCAAAGGAATCAACGAATGAGCTTCCTCCTTAACATTTTCAGTTACAATCATTAATCAACTGAGTCCAGATAATCCGAACTGTCTAAAGAAAGCTGTGGCGGCAATTAAAGAATTATGCATACACTATCCACAAGAAATTTTGGAGCATCTGCTACACCAGCCTATACCTTTTGATTGTGGCACCATGGAATTTTGGAAAGAGCTTGGAAAATCAGACGATATTGGCTTTCGTGTGTGTACATTTTGAATGCAATTCATAAATAGTTGTACGGTTTAATTTATAATACGTAAGGGCATGAAAGAATAGGAACCAATGCGATTGTGTAATTTTAAAAAAAAATTTTGATTATCTTAAATTTATTTAACATGAAATTTGTCTGATTTTTTTCGTTTGTTTAAATCTTATTAATCTAACTTTAACGCGTAAACAATAATAATAGAATATTTTTAAGCTAATACTTAATCATTATTAAGTGATTTTTCGTAACGATTGACATGAAATATTTCAAGCAAAGTATTACAAACATTAATTATCCCCAACGTATTTTCCATCATATAAAGATATATATATATATATATATATATATATATATATATATTTAGGAGAATATGCGGTGCTTCAAATAATGAACTATTTTGTCAGTTGTGGAAATTTAGCGTGTGCAAACTCTCGTTATTTTCTAGGCGTTGGAGCTGCTTTTAACCAGATTGAAAAATGATGATATACTAATCGACAATATTTCATCAGCTGATAATTACACTAAACGTTCTGTCGCGGCGTTTACGTCCTTGGCAGCAATTATGGCGATCGGACAGCTCTTGAGCTCTCCAAAGGCTCAAGACTTAATCGATCCAGAACTTGCGGCATTAATCGCCGTTTTAATCAAGTTTTTGGCCGGTTGGTTACACGCTGATCCACCAATGTCCAGCATCCGCACGAAATTTGGTTTTGTACCTAATCGCGGGGCATGCAAAATTAATCCACATAAAGAAGCCTACGCTGTCCTAATAAAAGTTTTGAATATTATTGGACTGCATGATGCAAATAAATCAACCGAATTTGTGAGTATAATGTTTTCATGTGACACTGTAAATTGCGCGCCCCTACCTCTAACAATAAAATTTGTATACGCCTGAAGGTAGACATCGTTGAAGTACGAAACCTTGTTTAATTGCATAATTAAATGGGGTAACAATTTGTTTTTAATTAAAAAATTACATTTTTTTAGTCGTTAAATTAAGCTTTAACAAGAACATTGAGCTCCCTCGAGCATTGGTAAAATTTTTTTGTTAATTCCCAACAGAGTTTCGAGTCCGAGTCAGAAGCCGAGGAGAATTTAGTGAGGACGATGCGCGCGGTTATGCAGTGCTTATCAAAGCGCAACGACATCCTGATCGACGTGACCAGATGCTTGGAGAATCTCGTGACCAGTAATCTGCCAGCTCAAAGGGCAGTTGCCATAGTCTTTCACGCGGAGCTCATCGGCGATCCAATCTTCGACGTCATGTCGCTCGACTCAATTGTGAAGATGCTGCACGAGGCCAAGGCAGATTCTTCTCCGCTGGTCAGGAAGTTGGCAACCATTGGCCTCGCGCGAGTGGCACTCTTGGAACCGGATCAGGTAAATTGGGAAATGGAGAAAGACGGGCCCTAGAGCCGAGTTGACTTTGAAGTATCCGAGCGCCGAAAAGTTCATTCGATGTTTCTGGTCAATCGTGACCATCTAATCGAGCTCTACTGCATTTAATACATAAATCATCTTTAATTATACAGCTCAAATTTGCCATTAAACAATTCCATTTTTCCACATTCAAGGCAAACATTAACCCGTCCAATTATTTATAATTTAGATATTGCGCACATAACTATTGCGACCAATGAATATTGTATAACTTCTACGTAATAGCCGAGATATGATTTCATTTCTCATAGCCGAGCTTTCCATGAAAATTGGAACTTATTGTAAATAAATTTTGCCGACACGATGAACGTTTAGATGCGTCTGCAAGGGACATTGGCAATTTCCGCGATCTAAAGTAAGACGAGATGGAATCGCACACGACCAAATGCTTTTGGATGTCTATTATTGCATCCACGCCACACCCTCGCGTTAATCCAACATCCTATTATAACTCAGCCTCTGCAAGAACAGGTGGAGAAGTATTTGGACAGCTGCCTGACCTCCCTGATGAACGGCTTGGAGGAGCCAGCGAACGCGTACGGCAGTACGGAGGTGGTGCTGGAGTCGCTGAAGGGACTCGGGGTGCTGCTGTCGGCGAAGACGGACAAGCCGATAAACCCGCGAGTCGTGTTTGCTCTCAAGCCCTTCATCGAGAAGGAGAACTGGGAGATGAAGCTCGCGGCGATAAGGGCATTGGGTTCGACAACCCAGGGCTGGCAAAGATTCATCCAGTCGCCGGACGACGACATAACGGACCACTTGCTCGGATGTATACCCTGTCTCGTAATCAAATTGGAGGATGACAACGATAGCGTGGCAACGGTGATCTTATATCCCTCATTCTCGAAAATATTACCAAGGATAAGCATGGGATTTATCTTTGATAATAATTTCAAGATAATTCTAAGATATTGTGTAGTTTATTAGATGTTTAATTAATATTCGTTAGCAAGTGTGATGTCCTTTAATTTGATTGATTCGGATCATTATCGATGTAATAGGAAGAGAGAGAGAGAGAGAGAGAGAGAGAGAGAGAGAGAGAGAGAGAGACTTTTGGCTCATCAGTGGAGATTAAAATAAAAAAAGAAAAATGATGATCCAATTATGTATGCAAAGTAATAATAGATAGATAATTGAAAAAAAAAACATTTGAAAATTGTGCCCATTTAATGTTACAATCACTCGTTATTCAAACCAAAATCGTGTGAATGAAACATTAATTCAAACATAATTACAAAACTTTACTTTATATATGTATTAAAATATAATATAAATGATACGCTTTAATCGAGGATTAACAATTACAATTATGAATATTCAATAGATAATAAAATGGAAAACTTTGGTTTATAATAGGAATACTAATTAGCTAATTAATTAATATAAACGACTGGTAATAAAAGCTCTTTCGTCATTTTATTTAGGAATCGAGGAAGGTATTGTACAGTATGGGGCATCTTATACAATGTGAATCCTTGGCTAAAATAATCGACACTTATCTAGCGCCCGAAAGTAATTTGAATTTTGAGAAGTTTGTACGAGAATTGATAAATTGTTTGAAAACGGATTTACCATTACGAGCCGAAGAATTGCGGTAAGCAATATTTATCTAATGTTACAATAATCGTTAGATTATCACGATAAATAAGGTTTTCCTTATTTTTCTTTTTTCTCTTTTCTATGATATTATAGAAATGCAATTGTCCGAGGATATTCAAAATCGGAAAATGCGATGGCTCGTGCGACGTCGGCGACGATATTAGGATTGTTTGGTGAGCCGAGACCGGAGGACGTCCAGAGGATGCTACAGCTATTGCACGATAAGGATAATATCGTGAGAGCTCGAGCCGCTCAAAGTCTCGCTTTAAGTTTTACATTTTGAGGCAAATTATTACTGGCTTTCACGGAATTATTATCGTAAATTTTATAAAATGAAATGTGATTACTGATTAATGTGAAAATCAAAATCACACGTTCTATTTTTTAGGCAAAATATTTCAAATAATTTGGGAACAAACGAATAAAATGATGAGAAAACTTACGATAATATAATGCGTGAATGTAAAGGTATAAGCTTGATTAGGTATTAGTAGACTATATTAATAGCCATCATTCTATTTAATTAGAAAATCAATATTTCTTATTAAAATACAAACTCTAAACACTGTATTGAACAAACGAGAGAAAGTTTTTTGATTTTATATGTTAGCTTTCAGCGAAATAAAAGATGCTACGTAGTAATCGAATCCCATATCTGCATCTGTTAAACTCATTGACTTGTATAAAAAATTAATTAAAAAAATCCAATTTCTTATACTTCCGTAGTAAACATTTAAACATTTACGCGATTAATATACTAACTTTCGGTTTATTAACGTTCGATGTATAGACTTTGTATATTTCAGAAAACTTTCTCGTGTCAATTTAATTTTAATGTGCAATTTTCAATAGTATTATGCGTAAGGCTATATTTTTAAAAATTATTTACGGATAAATGACATATTCTAGAAAATAATGTAATTTTTAACGCCATGAGAATTTTTTTTCTTTTTTCTTTATACAAATGTTTATTCAATATGAATTTTTATTAATACGTTACTTCTTTGTCTTCTATTTTTATTCGAGCCTGTTGTATAAAAAAAAAAAAGTTACCAAAATTTTAAACAATTTGTAATTTAGTAGCTTTATAAATATCATAAATACCAAAAACGTCTTCGGTACAAAGAATAATAATTCATAAAAATTGTATTTAGTTAAGCTTGTTAATTTTGTTATTTCACCTTAAAGAGCGTTATGTTATTAAATCATGAAATTTTCTTAACAAGTACTTCCTTTGATTTTAAACTTGTAAAAAAAAAAAAAAAAAAAAATCATGAATTTTATTAAAGATAATTTTCTTCATTTAGTTTTCATTTCAATCTATATTTGGTAAATAAAAATAAATACTCCATTCTATTATGTATAAAAAAATGTAAAGCAGATTTAAAGCAAAACATGTGTGTGTGTGTGTGTGTGTGTGTGTGTATGTGTGTGTGTATATTCAAGTTAATTTAAATTATGTCTGCTTTAAAAAAAAATAAAATATTTTTGTATGAATGATAGAAATGATATAAAGCTTAGAAAACGTGGCCTTCTGAAAATTTTGTACGTTTATAAGTACTCTTACGTAACAATTTAAACAGAATTTATATATTTATTAGCATATTTGTAAACTCAACAATTAATTACAAAAAATGTACAAAAGACATATCTATACAAAAATAAATCAACATTCACAATAATATAATAAGTATTTTCATCTTATCATTTACTATACACGAACATATAATTATTATTATTTACTGTGCAGTTTCTCAATACAAACACTAAGTTGTTCGAGTCGTTGAAGAAGATTAAGCATATTGGCACTCGATTGTCTAAAACTTGATTGCTCAATCTCGTGAATATCCTGACGTTGTCCCATTTCAAAATGAAGTCGCGCAAGTTTTTCCTGCTGCTCTCTAATTTCAATCATTTGTTCCATACTACAATCTTTTCCTGTTATTTCAAAATAAGAATAACGATTAAATGTATTAAAACATTGCATTGCTATACTTAAACTAAACAGAAGCTTTACGATTAATTATAGTTCTCGTATTAAAAAAGTTAGAAAATCTGTGTAAACAAATTTTAAAAATAAAGTATAAGTTTTCCTTGCATATAGATTTTATATTAATATAAGTTATAAATAATTTTAAAATGGTTTAAAATGAGTTCGATTAATTTATAAAGTTAAATTGAAATTTAAGAGAAAATTTTTTCATTGTAACAGACTCATTAATTACGTAATAATAATAATAATAATATATCAGTATACGCGTGTATTTATAATTGTTTGAACAATAGCCGTTTAAAATGTATAAAATGTATAAAATATGCCGTTATTCGACATTATTATCAGTATTTCTGTATATCGTGTTTAATCATGTTGCATTAAATTTATCTTAAATTGCATAATATTGTATTCAATGTATCAAAAACATGTTATCTTATTTGTAAACATATTATAAATTAATTTTTTTAAAATTAATTTCAATCATTATTCGGATTGCTCTCTATTTATAAAAATTTATCCAAACCCAGTCGAATAATTAACGATATTTTTAAAAATTTTCTTAAATAAAGACGATGTAAGAAAAATAACAAAGAACAGTATACTAAATTAAATTTATGTAGTTTTTCTTTTTTTGTGTAACATTTATTCTCAATAAATGTTACTGTCTGTAATCATTATCTACATATGATCCGTAGAAAGTCGACTTATGAAATACTTGATAAAAGTATTTTATAATATACGTTTTTGATTAATAGAAATATGTTTAAACGAGTTACTTAGTGTTATCCAGAACTGTAAGTTCTAAATCTGTGATCAAATTATTTTCATCGCTTTCGTTAAATATATTGTGCAATTGTAAAAAGATTAAAAATTGTAAAGATACATATAAACAAATAAATAAACTAAGCGTGAGAGAAAAATGTTATCTTTTTTAAGCGATGAGAGTTCAATGTTTGATTAAATAATAGATAAAATGAAAAATTTAATATTTTTTCTTTGTCACTAAATTTTACTAAATACGGACTTGACACATATTATATTCATAAACGTAAGCTTGAAGGTTTTTTCAAAAGGACACATAAAATTAATTAAATACTTGAACAAATTTAGATTGAAAAATAAATGTATAAATGTATAAATGTACATAAAAATATTTCAGAATAATACAAACACGTAATATCGCTCAAGATTTGCATAGCTATTACATAATTTTTAAATTATTACTTAAATGTTTCTACGTACATTCGCATAAAGTTATAGTGAAGAGTTTTATATATGTAAAACATTACCAAAAGCACGCAAATTGCCACTATGGAAGTCTTCGAGTAGCTGGAGTAGCGCTTGCTCCATATGCCTGACATCGGGTACTTCTGATAAAAATGAATGATGCTTGCATGGTAGCAGAACTTTTTAAAATTTTAATAAAATAAAAAGACTTTAAATTAAAAAACTGATAAATATGATAAATGTATTAAATAAATGGTAATAATTAAATTATTCAAGTATACGAAACAACATAATTTAAATAGTAAGTGCAAGAGTTGTTTGATAATGAAATAAAATAAATTGATATCATAATTATAAGTGGCAACTTTTAGAAGACGAATTAGTACATTAAACCAACTATTACAAATTATCATTTACAGTAATTTAAGATTTGAGATTTTTCAGAAAATGAATTGTTTCAATATTATAGTATAATAGCCAATTTTTGCTTTGTTTACTTAATCTGTTAAAAATGTACTAAAGAATTTAAAAATACTATGAAAGTCTTAAACTATTTACATATGTATTAGGTTGTTGTAATTCAATGTCACTCAATGACAGTAGCTTATGCTTTTCGATCTTAAAATATTAATTTCAGTAGATAAAGTTTTAAAAAAATCATTGAAATTAAGTAATAAGCTAATGTTTCTTGTTAAAAAAATTTTATTTTACCTTATCTATAAAATAAAAACAATGATAATCTGTATTTAAAATTATGGCCCAATCCATAGGTATAAACAAATATTTAATTTTTTACAATAAGAACATAAAGAATGTAAATGGTAAGGCAGTCTATTACCTTTACGTTGCTTATTTATATTTGGAACTTCGGGATTAACGGACTTCTGTTTTTCTTTATCGTTTGAATAAACGAGACGAGATTGATTTCCATAGCTAGTTGTAGCTTGACTCGAAGATTCTTTGCTTAATGCCGATGAACTTTGTGCGTTATTCTCCCATATTACTTGTTGCTAAAATATAATTTATAAAAATCTTATCGGTATAAAACAAAATTTAACAATTATCGGGTTATATGAAAAATTGTATGGACATTATCAATACGAGATTGATATATAATGTAATGGTAAATGTATAACTAGAATACTTATACAATTTTAAAATTGTATAATTACCAATTCATGGGGACTGTGTATTTTGCCTTTAGATTGTTTATTAGACTTAGTAGGAGTACAAGGCGGCGTTACTTCATCGCCTCTACTTAATGGCTCTTCGCTCTCCTCTTTCTGTACCAATTGTTGTAGTTCACCGCTACCCGAGTGTTCATCCATGTTCATCGTCTATACAATATGCATAATATTATTGATATAAAAAAATCTAAGAACACAATAAATATTTTGCCACTAATGAAATATACAAATCTATATTGATATTATAAAAATATTGTGTATAATAGATAGAATAATTATTTTGATATTATATGTTTTTCTAATTTACCACAGCCACTTCTTATATTCCCTGAACATCATTCAACATTCTAAAGTATTTATGTATAAAAACAATAAACTGTATAGAAATATTTGTAGGTTATTGTCGATAATTCGTAAACAAATAATTCGCCGTCGTTGTCAGCCCGACACATTTGCCGTGCCATTATTCGAAAAAAATAATTTACTTAATCGATTAGACTTCACATCAAACTAAATGTATTTTTATGCCGTATCAAACAAAAACTTTACGACGATCGCCTAAGATGGCCATGTTGAAGATTCAAGACAGACGCCAATACTGCAAACTACAAATGCATTTGTGTTTATTCCGAGCACACATGTAAATGATAAAAGCAGTGGTATGAGGAAATAAGGATTATAATAATTCACTATTTGTATATCCAAGGTAATAATCATCTTTCCAGATATATTACATGCGAAGAGAAATTAAATTAAAATTCTCAATGCGTTATAAACGCATTATTTAGTATGCGCGTAAATAAACATTAATGGTAAATATATTGCGAGTAACCTATACTGTTATTTTTATGTTATTTTTATGATTTCGTGAGTTATTATTAAGCGATAGAGCTTTTTATTTATGATAAAATAATGATCGAAGGCTAATTGTTAGCGGCTGTACCGATCTCTAATAATAATACGAGATGCTTTAATATACATAGCTTAAGTTAAATATTGTAAGTTGAAAATGTTTATCGAATAATTTAATCAGGCATATAATTGCATTAATTTTTTTTTTGCTTTTTCTTTTTTTTTTTTTTTTTTTTTTTTTTTTTTTTTTTTAGTTTTTTTGATGATTTCATGGATTAGAGAGCAATTTACAGAATCTGGGAATAGCAGGAAGAATTCAAGGAGTGCTAAAAAGCCCTCCTTGAATGGTTCTTCCAAAGAAATCAAAGGAATGCAAACATCTACAGCATCAGAAGGTTTTCTTATTAAAGTTGTTAGGTAATTAACATTTTTCTAATTACAACTAACGAGCCATTCTACTTTTGTTTAAATAAAAAAAGAAAAAAATCTGTTTTTACTTGTTGGGCATATTAAATGCAGTCTGGAAGGGGATGTTTTGAATGTTGCTGTGACACAGGAATTTATGATTCACAAAGTTAAATCGATAGCTACGGAACATTTTTATGGACATGACAAAACTGCGGGAGTTTTTCAATTTCGCTTGATACATGCAACAGTTTTGAAATCACTTGACGATGAAAAAACTTTAAAGGATGAAGCAATTTCAGAATCCGGTTAGTAATTGACATTAATATATTCAGTGTAATCGAGCGATATACATATGCAAGATTTTATCAATAGTTCTGTATTAAATAATAAATACATGTAAATATTATAGATGAACTGTTATTAGTTAAAATTAGAGATCATTCTGAGCAATTAAATTCGTCAGAAGATAATTTAAAAGCACCAACCGAAGAAATCATAATGAATGCGACAAAAGAGTTACCAGTTAAAAATGCGCCAAAGCCGGCAATAAATTCCGATTGTCCTGAAGATGTAAATTTTTTAGATCATAAAATCTTACTAGAGTTAATATTTATAATTCAGGTTACTGCAGTAATTAATACAGTTTCAGAATGAAATTCGTAAAATCTTCATCACACTTGTACAAACATCTGCAAAAATTCTTATGTACAGTCCAGATGCTCAAAAATTTTATGAAATTATTAAAGATAAATTAGAAGAACAATTAAAGCCACCTAACGATCCAAAGGCTGTGAAGTATTTAGTAGAAATGGGCTTTTCAGAAGTTAAAGTAACAAAGGCACTTCAACTTAAAAAGTATGTACAAGAATTACGTTAAATCCTAAACATTTATCACAGCTTCAATTGAATAATAATGATTTTTTTTTTCTTATTTCATACTCGTATTATCCCTACTATATTTAACAAAAAAATATCGATAAATAAAAATATTTTATAACTGTTTTGATGGAAGCTTATGATAAAAAAATAATTACGAAATAAGCATAAAATGAGCTCGGTCGAACAAATCATTTGTGATAAATTGCAAAATTCTCGGAATATTCCATTAACGATTTGTAAATGACGTTGAAAATTTTAATTGATACTTTCATTTTAGAATGAATACAGCAGAGGCGTTGGAATGGCTGTTCGAACATCAAGATGATTCCGATAACGATGAGGATATACCAACTTTAGAAACAATATTAGATGCGGATGCCGGTCCTAGTTCATCAGGTACAATAAAAAAAGCAAAGAAGAACTCTATTAGAGAGACTATCCATAAGCTTTTTAAAAAACGTAATTTAGTAATGGGCCAGAATGTTTTTTCGCTTAACTAATCCTTATCTTTTATTAATAATGTATTTTCTAGATAATGAATCGGAGAAAAAAGAACCAAATCTTGTTCATATTGTTAATCTACTATTAAATAGTTTTCGACAATATCAAAAAATGGATTTTAAGCCCAGTTCGTCATTAGTTCAATCTTTGGAAGAAATGGGTTTTGAAAAGCCAAAGATTTTAGAAACACTTAAAATTACAGGCAATAATCAGGCAAATGCAGTAAGTTGTATTATTAATGAAAGTGTGCGTTATCAGTTGCACGATAATTTAAAATTGAAATATTTAGTGTGCATGGTTACTGGGAGAAAGAAGAGCGAGTTTAGAAAATTTGTACGATGGCATGGACCCTGATGGACCTATTTACAATGCAATAATGAATAATCCTCAAATTCAACTGAGTCTCACAGATCCAAAAATGTTAATTGGTACGTAGATGCAAAGAAAATAATTCCTTTAAGATAATTCAGCGAGTCTTGGCTTTGCATAAGATGCTTGTTATACATTTATTACAAAAATTTTAATCCCATAATCTTATACATACGTATATATATATATATATATATATATATATATATATATATATATATATATTTTTTTTTTTTCAGCTTATTTATCGATGCTAGAAACGTCTAAATCAACAAGTATATGGATGAAGGATCCGCAAGTTTCGCCAATACTTAGCCAAATATTTAAAACGTATCACGCCGAAAAGCACGCGATTCTTTTGAATCGTTATAATAGCAGCTAACGTTTTCTCTATTGCTCTTGTGTTTGTATGAATCTACATTTTGATATGAAATTATAAAGATTAACTTTATTTATCACCGAAATTATTAATTGCTGGATATTGTTTTAATTATTAATATATGTCATTGTTAAATGACAATCTTGCTATTGGAAACAACCCACATTAACAAGTGCTTAGCAATAATCGATGAAAGTAATTAAGATTTAAAATGGAAGAGTATTTATAAAACAATCTCATTTTTCATATTTAAATATGAATTTTGTAAATACAATTATACTATTGTATTAAAAAATATAGTTCAATTTAATTTAAGAGTTTTATAGCTAACTAATATTAAACTTTGCAAACATTGTTACTACAATTATAAATTATACAAATATTGAACTAGCTTTGAAAGAAAAAGTTATTGTTAAATACTCATTAGATTTTTAAATGTTAGAAGTTCTAAACATATATTATCGTGATTTTTAAAATGATAGAACTGTATAAGCTTTTCTCAATGAAAATTAAGAAATCAACCAATCCGTATTTTTACATAAAATTATAAGATACAATAATGTATCATTTAAGATTTTTTAGTCTTTCGATTTATTTAATATGCTTTATTATTTTAATTAATATAATAAAGGACTGAAAAATAGTTACAATATGCCTCGACTAATTAAACATATGTAATACAATTTATTCTTACGAATGTACCATTCTTTTCTTTAACTTATTTAATTTTCTCGATTTGATTTGAAAATTATAAAAGGAGCTAACGATTAATTAAGAAGCTCTTAAGATTATTAATTCATAAATTCCTCTAAATACACTATTACTTAAAATCAAGAGCTATGGAAATTTTTTTAAATATATAGCTTCTTTAAACTCGATTTAATTAAACTAACATTTTTTTAACAAGATTCATAATTTTCTTGGCATGTCACAATAGATAAAAATTGCCGCATAATGGGAAATACAAAATAAATATATTGTATCTTGAAATGTTTATATCTCACGGAAGATACTTCTCTCACTTAATATATTTATATACAGTATTATGTTACATAAAAATTCTTCCTTAATATATACAAGACACTTATCAAAGATATATAGTACATTTAATTGATGATATAGTCATCGTATGTTGAATAAATTTTTAACACGAATATACATTATTTTTAAATATATTAGTATTTGCAATTTATGTTTACATTTCTTGTCCTTTGGGCATTCAAGTTGTCCGTTGTTTGAGTATTTTGATTTTGACAATATTAATGTACGAGTCGTAAATGCAATGTTGCTTAATAAGCAACAAATTATATTTAAAATTTTATAATACATATGCAATTAAGTAGTAAAAATAGAAGAAACAGCATTTAGAGACAGGGGTATGGGAAATGTATATAGTTTATGGATTTTTTTTTTATTTTCAAATTTACAAAAAATATATAATTTTTTAAAATAATTAACAATTCATCGATACAAATATTAAGTATAAATATGTAGAAAAATATAAATTAGAAGTAATATTTACAATTAAAAATCATTTGATCAACTTTCATTACAAATTTTTGATTATTTGCTATGCAATTGCTCGATGCAAACACTAAGTTGTTCGAGTCGTTGAAGAAGATTAAGCATATTGGCACTCGATTGTCTAAAACTTGATTGCTCAATCTCGTGAATATCCTGACGTTGTCCCATTTCAAAATGAAGTCGCGCAAGTTTTTCCTGCTGCTCTCTAATTTCAGTCATTTGTTCCATACTACAATCTTTGCCTAATTTGACAAATAAACCGTTTAACTTTCTATAGTTATATTGTCGTACTCAACAACAAATACAACAAAACTAACAAACAAAAAATACTACTTTGATCACATGATTCCGTTTAAAGTTAAGTGCTAATAATTGAACAAGTAAATATAAATATAAACATCGTATTGTATAATTAACATAAGAATAAATTATTTATCAAGCTTACAAATTGCCAAGTGGTATATATCTTTTTATACGTGTTAACTTAATATGTCAAATTTAAAAAGTAAATTTGAAATACTTTTCCAATTATTTTTCAATTATCTGTCAAAAGTATAATATTTGATGTTGAGTATATCGATTAAAATTTTGTAATACAACGATTACCAAAAGCACGCAAATTGCCACTATGGAAGTCTTCGAGTAGCTGGAGTAGCGCTTGCTCCATATGCCTGACATCGGGTACTTCTGATAAAAATGAATGATGCTTGCATGGTGTCATCACTTTTTTTTTTTCAAATTAAATAAAATAAAAAAGCTACAAATTAAAAAACTAAAAATGGTATAATACAATAAATCTATGATAATATCAAATGAACTTAAGTAGTAATATGAGAAAATAAAACCATAAAATATAAATATTGGATAAATAATGTAAAGGAATTTTATAATAAAACTAAACACATTTTAAAGTAAACGCTCACCCTTTTGTTGCTTTCCCATCCTTGGGAGATCCATACGAATTGGTTTTTGTCTCTCTTTGTCATTGGCATGTATCGGGCGTGATTGATTCCCAACATAAGATAAATTGAATGCTCTGCCAGACATAGAGGCTTGACTAATTGTTGCTTGACTCGATGACTCTTTACTGATAATCGACGACGCTTGCACATTATTATCCCACATGGTATGTTGCTAAAAATTAGTTATATAATTAGTGTTTAAAAACTAAAATAACAAAATAATCTTTATTTATTATGATTTTGTTAATTTACCATACCAACATTATATTATTTTATTATATTATATAAATTATATATTATATAAATGGATATGTAAATAAATATAATAAATAAATACAATCAATAAATTCAGCATTGTAGCATTGGAAATACTTAAAATATAAATAATTACCAGGGTGTGAGAGCTGAGCGTTTCACCATCGGATGGATGATTGGATTTGACAGGTGTAGAAGGCGGTGTCGCTTCACCACCTCGAGTCAATAGCTCTTCGCTCCTCTCTTTCTGCACCAATTGCTGCAGTTCGCAGCAATCTGAATTTTGATTCATGCTTAATCGAACGTACGTGTATACTTATGCATCTGTACATAAAATATATAAGCGTCTAATCTGTAAGAGAGAAGTAGGCATTTTAAATGATATTGGCAATAAAGGCTTCATTGCTAAACTAGGGTGATAGTAAAAAATAATTATGAAAAGTTTTAAAATGACACTCTTAGATACTCGCCTTAAAATAACAGTTCTTCTTTAAAACAATAAAACCAATATTTCCATATAAAAGTATAAAAATATATTTATAGGTTATCCGAATTTATCCTATATCAATAATTCATATAACGAACTATGATTGTTAGTCTACTAGATAAGCCGAGTCTAAGCATTTTCGAAAAAGCCTTTTGTTTCTTATTCGACTTATACCTCGTATCGCAAGTAATTTATTATCACATTTGATTAAATGAAAATATTTTTGCTACATTAAGATCGCATTGTTAAACACTAAACTGTAGATACGTAAATACCGCAGCCCTACAGCATAAACTGTCGCAATCTTCGTCGTAATCTTATTAAAATACGCGAATAATAAAAAAAAAAAAAAAAAAAAAAAAAAAAAAAAAAAGAGATGAAAGCGTAATGAGAGCCGAATCGACGAATAACGAAATATCTCTCTATATTTAAGATATAATTTCAGTGTCTCTATTAAAGATGTAATAATATAAAATGAGAAATGCTTACGTTACATAGTTAAACTAGTTTTCATCACAAAATTAATTTAATTATTTAGTGAATGTATTAAGGGAATTGATTTAATTTTGTTATAGTAAAAACTTCTTCACACAAATTGTCTTACATCGAATAAATCCAGGTGATTTGGGTGAACGATGGCATCTTTTATTTACATACAGGACGAAGAACAACAATTTTTGCCAAATCTACTCGTCGACATCTAAATGTAGAGGTAATGCAAAAAAAAAAAAAAAAAAAAAAAAAAAAAAAGAAAAAAAAGAATAGTCCAATTGGTCTACAAATGTTCAAACGTAATTTATATATGATTATTGCAGTTCGCTTATACTTTGTTTGCTAAAATAAACGATAAAAGGTCTTGTAAAATTCAATACTTTCACTTTAAGTGCTTGTAAGATAATTTATCATGTTACTTTCAAAAGTCGATGAGCTTAAGCTTTGATTTTCTCTTTAATTTTGATTCGATTTGACGTGCATTCATTTATGAAAATTCACGTTAATAGTGCAAAAATTACTTTTTCAAATATTGCTCGAAACACATAATTATTGCATCTATTCTATGAAAAATTTTCATTTTCTCAAACATCATTGCAAACTTTTGATCCGATGTGTTAAAGTGCACTGTAGCGAAGAGGTCTCTTAAATATCTTTGTCCATTATTATTTAATTATTCTCGGATGAGGGAATTTTGTTTTTTAATAAGTTTTCCTATTAATCGATCGATTAAAATATCCCCTTATTAATATTATCGGGCATTTTTCATTTCTTCGTTTAGGGTATTTATTCGGGCAAGATCAAACGAAATATTGTACATTGAATTTGGAGAATTCGATTTACTTTTGTTTGAGTGCAATTCAAAGTGAGAATGTCGCGCACATTCGCGACTTCAAAGCTTTTTCTTTTTCTTTTTCTTTTTCTTTTTTCTTTTGACGAATTGTCGGCAGTACGTTTCTTTCTCTGCTTTCTTTCCTCTTTGAAATGCCGCCAACAGATGACTTATTGTCGGCAATCTCTTACATAAGGAAATGCCAATAAAATCGGTCTCGTTCGTCCTATGGAAATCTATCAAAAAACACTGGAACTTTGTCTTGTGCATTTGAGACGGAGTAGGGATGGGGCAGTCGTTTCCAAAAACATGTGCGTCAAGCAGCGCCATTCGAGAAGATAGAGCAATCTTACGAGCAAACTTAATTAATTATATCCGACAAAAATCGACACGATACGCATAAAAGGTGGATCGATCTCTTAACTTTCTTACATTCTTTTATTGTAACGCTCCCTACAAAATACTAAGATCGCTATGGACCAAGATGTTATTGGGCTTTGGGGTTCGGGGTTTGGACGGTGTTGGGCGAGGGAGGGGAAGGGGGGGGGGGTATATGCGCGTGCGTGTGTGTGTCAGATTCGCGTTATCCAATACACGGTGGCTGGTCTTTGATATTTGAGGAGAATCAGGTCGTTTCTCGTCCAGAATCGTCGTCCCATCAAACGATTTCATTATCTCTTTCTCAACGATAATATTCAGCTCGCGAATAGGTGGTGCGTCTTCTCCCGACCTCGAAGGTCATATGGCGTAGCAATGACATTTAACGAACGGCGTATTATAATCGGGCTAATAAGTAGCAGCTTCGCGTTATTTGCCTGTGTAAGCTCGGCCAAGTCGAGGATGCCTCGCCCACTTGAAAGAGTTCCTCTCCAGCCGATGGAGTTGCCCCTAGCATTAGGTGAAAGCAATACGTGTAATATAATAATAGTCGGTCCCTTTAAATAATATCCCCTCCCTCAATTGGTAAACGATGCTCCGGCCGGTCGCAGCCGACGGACTTGGATCACGACTAATCGAGCACCTGGGGGAGGTAATTGAGACGCGCAACGATAAGCCAACGATAAGTGCCGCCGTCGTTTGAGCGTAGCCAAGGATCGCGCGCGACTTTCGCGGAGGTGCGAGGGGGTCGAGTTCTCGTAGCGGCGCTCTCGCAACATCACGCGTTTTACGGTAATACGTCACATCCACTGTTCCGCAAATCTAGATGGCAGCCCGCGAATCGTAATGCCGTTCAAACGACGAAGTGCACGACGGATTGATTAGGTGCGTCGGCGTTGGTAGGTTGATAATCGGCCACTGGAAACGTGTCCCCGTGAAACGTGCCGATGCTGCGCCGCCAATACGCTAATAAAGGCGCTTGTAACGCGGGTAAAAATCGTAGTATTAGGAGCTACGAAATAGTAGCCGGCCGGTGGTGGGCTTAAGGTCGACGCAGGGAACGGGGATGCCCGCCCGAGTGTTTGCGCAGAAATCGCTCGCGTCGGAGGGTGGAGGGTTGTCATCGGGTGGGTGGGACAGTATATTTACAAACACACACAATACATACCATGCCAACATACATGTGCATATAATGCTAGTATTACCGAATAAGAGTGATGGCGGTGGGAGGGGAGTGGAGTGGAGTGGAGGGATGAACGGCGAGTGGCGGTGGCGGCTCGGTGGCGTCGACAACGAGGAAGTCCGTTCGCCCTTGGTCGATCTAATGGCAAAGGTGTTGTCCTCGTGTCCGTCTTTAGACCTTTGGGAGGTGAGAAGTCGAGCAGCGGCCCCTCGAAATTAGGCCTCATTGTTCCACGCTCCGCGTTCCATTGAATTGGACAGAGAAAGGAGAAGCGAGGGAGCGGAACGTTGAAGTATCGCTGCACTGCGGTGCAGACTTGCGCTGCGGCTACGTATTATATGTACATTCCTTCTTTATCTCTTTATCTCTCTCTCTCTCTCACTTTATCTTTATCTTTCTCTCTCTCTCTCTCTCTCTCTCTCTCTCTCTCTCTCTAATATATATATATATATATATATATATATATATACATAAATATACATATGTGCGCGCGTGTGGGCGCGCGTGCGTATGCATATACGTATTTATATACCTATCTATACATCTGTGCGCGCGCCACAAGCGTGCGCGCGCGTGCCTGTCCATTAGTGTTGGTGAAATGTAAAAAGAAAGAGTATAATATAGTAGCGCGTGAAGCGTGGAGTGCGGTTGACTTAAGTGAAGGTGGGCTGTTGTATCGGGTGGTGGTTCGAGTCCATGGACGCCAGAGTCGCCGAGTCCTCGAACGATAGAGGCGCCGATCGTCTTCCTCGAGTCGTCGACGCGAGTCCCGCTCGAGCCGCCTAGGCCGTCGATAAGTGCACGGAGGTTGGGAGCTCGGGGACTCGGAGCGGCGTCTCGAGGAGAGCCTCAGGGCCTGACGAGGCGAAAAGAAGACGAGGAGCACCGCAGTCAGTCACGAGGTCGAGGGCACGAGGAGTCTCGGCGGTGCCGAGGCCGAAAGCCGCTACTGTATGGTGGAGCGTCCAAGGAGGAAAAAGAGCAGCGGTGATCCTCTTCGCTCGGCGCCGATCTCTTTCATGGGGATTGCGGCGGCGTGGGTGACCCTCTCGCACGCCGATCGGTCTTTTGTTGTGAAGTGCGACGACCAATAGTGTGTACATAATTTTGAGAAAAGTTTATCGCGAAGCGTCGAGAGAAGTAAATGCGCGTACAATATTTTATATGCCTGTACGCACAGACTTGACGGTGTAGCACGTAAGTGTGCGGCAATTCTCGGGGTGATTTCGTTCGAATTCTAAGAGCCAACTTGATTATCACCGAGATATATGTAGAGAGGGAGAGTTATACGTACGCGCATTATGTAGATAGAGTGAAAGAGGGATATATATATATATATATATATATATATATATATATATATATATATATATATATATTAGAGAGAGAGAGAGAGAGAGAGAGAGAGAGAGAAAGATAAAGATAAAGTGAGAGAGAGAGAGAGATAAAGAGATAAAGAAGGAAGGAAGGAAGGAAAGAAAGAAAGAAAGAGAGAAAGAGAAACTAAAGGACTCGGTTGGTTCGATAAAGTTGTGTTCACACAAACACTTTTGCATACATATACGAATCATCGCGTCTCGTTGTTCCTATACTTGCGAGAGAATGGGCGCGGATGAGAGGGGAAGAGCGAATAAAAGAGAGAGAGAGAGAGAGAGAGAGAGTGTGAGAACGTGCGTGCGTGCTTGTATGAGCGCGAGTGTGAGAGAAAGGTAGAGTGTGTGTGCGTGTGCGTGTGCGTGTGCGTGTGCGTGCGCGTGTACGCCTGCGTGAGTGAGGGAGAAAGAAAGAGTAAGAGAACGGGCAAATGGTGAGAAGGGTGGAGGGGGTGGGCGAGAGATAGAGAGGAAGAGAAACAAAAAAAATATATAAATAAATAAATGAGTAAAAACATGGTCAAATGTAATTTATGAGCTAGTTGAATGATGACAAGTTGAATTCAAGTGGTGTTGACGCATGTATATGTTTATTCTAATAGGACTGTATTCTTTTTTTCTTGATGGACCTTTTTATGTGCTTAGCCTCCTTAGTTTGCTCTCCTCAAGTTTTGCTAACCAGAATTTGTTGCACAAAATTTAATTAAACCGAACTTGAATGCACGGTTCTTTCAAGTACCAAGTGCGGTTGACATTGTGTCGGATCATTAAAAACTTGTTTATAGTTTTGAATAACTGATTATATTATGCATAAATGTCTATAAATAATTTTCAAGTTAAAAATGAAAATCTGTAACACCTGTTAAACTGTAGATTCTCGGTTATAACGCAAGTAACTCGAGAATTTCTAGGATACTCAAACATGGATATCGTTGAACTTTTGTCCTTAACAAACAAAAACTTTTTCGACAGCAAATGTGTCACAGAGTCTTACAATTATTGTGTTCTGAGGTCAGGTTTTTTTACATTTTTGTTTGTGTCATGTTTCTTAATACAATAAATAATTTAAAATTACTTTTTATTTTTTTTAAATTATTTTTATAAAAGTGGTAGGCAAACAAAGGTTTTAGTTTGTATTTCAATTTAATAAAACGACATGGTGGCCAAGTAGTTAAGTAAGTTTAAATTTTTGAGGACACAAATTGGTATTACTTTTTCCAAATTTATATCAAATTTATAATGACCTCGTGTCCTCATTGTTTGCTATGAGCGGACTATAATTATGGATCAGAACAAAGAAATAAGCTTTAAGTTTAAAGTTAAATATTATTTATCGAGTCAATCGGGCACTGCCTTATTATTTACTAAAATATTTCATTTTTAATAGAAAGTTTAGCACGCTACGTTAATTATGACAAATGCAGATAACAATTATTATGAACTAGTTAACAAATACCAAATAACGTTACTAAAGAATATTGGAAACGAATTTTTCAATAACATTTCTAAAAACAAACAGAAAATGCAAGCTCATTCGAACGTCTTTATTTATTTTAACGTAAAGATAACTTTTTGAATCTATATAAATTCTTCATTTAACTGATTATACAAATTTTTTTTTGTACCGAAAGCTATATAATTATTATTTTAAATTTAAACTCAAACAATTAACAAGTCAATTATATAATTTGGGATTAGAATTTTTATGGTCATCATGTTATGTCAGTGTTAATAAAATTTTAATAGGCCATTAGTAACATGTTTTCATATATTTGCATTTCAGAGAGGGTATAAAGTCACTACCACATTACAGTGAAATAATTGGTTTATCCAGGGACATATATCCTGGGTGATCGAGATAAGCACCAAAGTCAAAAATAATGGACAGCAATGCAGATGCTGACAACCTGACCTTGAGTTGCGGTGAGAACGATATGGGGGATGAATTAAAGATTGGAGCCGATGAAACATACGATACACGAAGTGAAGTTTCATCGAGCAGCTCAGGATCGGACGACGAGGAGGAAGAGGACGACGACGACGACGACGACGATGACGACGACGACGATGACGATGACGACGATGACGACGATTCCAGTCAACCTACTATTACTTCCGTTTCGTCAAAATCATCAAAGGAAGATCCAAAGAGAAATCATAGAAGTAGGGGTAAAAGAAGACAATCAAGAGATTCGTCATCCTCCAGTCCCGAAGCAAAAAGAGCTCGGTCAAAAGAAAGTTCGAAATCAAAAGGAGGAACAAATACTGTATCCACTGCAAAGAGCTACGATTATGCGACAAAGTTAAATTACTTGTTTAGGGACGCAAGGTACTACGTATAATTTTTCTTATTTCCCTCGTTATTTGCTCGTTTGTGTAATTGTACGAAAAGAAAAGAGAAAAAAATATGTGTTTGTGTATATATATATATATATATATATATCATTCGGATTGAACGAAAAATTTGGAGAATTCGATTTACTTTTGTTTGAGTGCAATTCAAAGTGAGAATGTCGCGCACATTCGCGACTTCAAAGCTTTTTCTTTTTCTTTTTCTTTTTCTTTTTTCTTTTGACGAATTGTCAGCAGTACGTTTCTTTCTCTGCTTTCTTTCCTCTTTGAAATGCCGCCAACAGATGACTTATTGTCGGCAATCTCTTACATAAGGAAATGCCAATGAAATCAGGCCTCGTTCATCCTATCGAAATTAAAAGAAAAAAACCAAAACTTCTTGATTATTTGTTCACCTGTGTATCTTTAATGATGTTAACGTTTTCGATTAATGACTGTGCTCTAATCGACATATTTTAATGCAAAATATTACAACGACGTGTATTCATGTACACCAGATGTGGCAACTATTTTTAAGATATATGATTTTTAAGATTTAAGACCAGGACATTTGAATTGTAGGTTTTTCATCATTAAATCGAACAACGCTGAAAATGTTACTCTATCAAAGGCCAAAGGAGTTTGGAGTACACTTCCACAAAATGAGGCAAACCTTAATCAGGCTTACAGAGAGTCGAGAAATGTTTTACTTATTTATTCGGTAAAGGAGTCGGGAAAGTTTGCTGGTTTTGCAAGACTCAGCACGGAGTCTCGAAGAGATGGAACTTCTATCTCTTGGGTATGAACGAAATCTATATTATCTATATCTCGAGTAAAAATCATAGACGTTATAATTGCAAGCGAATAAATATTAGGTGCTACCTCCCGGATTGTCGGCCAAAGCTTTAGGTGGAGTTTTTAAAGTGGACTGGATATGTAGAAAGGAGTTACCTTTCACGTCAACCTTACATCTCTATAATCCATGGAACAATGGAAAGCAAGTGAAAATTGGTCGCGACGGTCAGGAAATCGAGCCTCGCGTTGCCGAGGAGTTATGCCGATTATTTCCCGAGGACGAAGGTAATGAGAGAGAGAGAGAGAGAGAGAGAGAGAGAGAGAGAGAGAAAGAGAGAAATTGGAGGGCGGGTGGTAAAAATAAAATAAAGTTACTGTAAAATTGAAGTAATGGTCGCGAATGTAAATGAGCCGATGTACGTAATATTCTTTCTACAAAAATCTTAAAAACTTGAAAATATTTTCCCAACTACGTGAATTGATAGTTAATAAAACCTCTCCCCACAGGTATTGAAATGACTCCTATTTTACGTAAATCAAAAGAAGCTGCTAAACATGTGGTGAAACCAATAGCCAGGAATCACCACGAAAGTAGAACTGTGATAACGCCTAGATTTATTCGAACTCGTGGCAGAGGACGCAGACTATTTCTTACGTCCAGGTCAAGATTGGCCTCTTTAGCGAGGGGCGGACACTTATCATCAGACCACAGAAATTCACGGGACCATCATCGATATTCCAGTTGGTTCAATCGCGGAGAATATTCCAAGTAAGAAGAGTTCCATCTCATTGATCCGTCCTCGTTATCTTTGAGTGACAATTTTTAATTAGTAATAATAATAATCTTCCGAGAGCTGTCCGTTCGGTTAATAATCGATATTTAATTAAATGCCCATTTTCACGAATGACGCCCCGGAAATATAATACCTAACCACCGAGTCTTCGATATTGTCTTACAGAGGCTACGGCGCCTCGGTCCTGGGCGTGGCAGCAGCCGCGGAGGCCTACGTCGCGGACTATATGCGCACGATGCAGCATCAGCTGCCGCCCTTGCCGCCTTACGTCGCCTCGCTGCCTTACGACACGCTACCGCCGCCCCCGCCGCCACCCCCGCGCTACTACGAGGGGCTACCGCTGCCACCGGACTACAGCGTCGCGGCTGCAGCTGCGAGCAGCCTCGAGAAGCGCAGCTACGAGCGCAGCGTTGACGAGTTCCTCTGGCGTACGACGAGCAGTCGACACGGCCGACACGGCGAGCACCGCTCATCGCGCGATCATCATCATCATCGATATCGCGAGCGCAGATAGATACCAGAATATTTCTCTCCTATTTAAGGAGATTGTACGACGGTCCATTTTTTTTTTTTTTAAATTTTATTCCCTCCCCTCCTCTCCAAGTGCATCGTGCATATCGATTCGGACGACGTTTTCATAAACTGCGGTATTTTATTATTACTATTAAGCGCACCGGGGAAAATGGCAACGTTTGCGTCCAATCGGATCTGAAACAGACGTGGCTGTGCTTAGAGAATTAAAAGAAAAAGAAGAAAAAATAGAAAAAAAAGAAAGAAATAATGAACGCCCCTACGACAGCATCGTAACTGTGTCGATGATGCACAGTTACACGCGGATATGCTGGGACGGGGGGGGGGCGGAGAAGCTGGACCCCAGTGGGTATGATCGAATTACGAATTCTGGGAGCAGTCGCATCGAGTATATTTATTTCATCGACACGTACATGTTTCAAGTATATGTGTGTACTCGGCAACGGTAGCTGATGAAATTATCATCTTATGTTGAATACGCAAGCCAGTGATGTAGTTTTCCCTTGCCGTAGACCGTGGATGGAGGAGTCTCTTGTAATACCCCGCGTACATTGGATGCAGGAGCACTACTTAGGTAGAGACAGAAGTTCCGGCGACGAGCGCGGAGTATATTTTCAGTAAGTTCGCAATTTTGTAGTAAGTAGCATCGCACAACCGGGCAACGTCTAAGCACAATAAAATTGAGCATTGGGGCCACCGCCTCTCTAGATCAGAGTCGATACCGCGTGGAAGTGCATTTCTCCGATAAAGGCTCAACTGTTTCTCTAAGCGCTGGGGAAAATCACTTTCTTCTATTAGTACTGAGTTCGTTGGCGTTTGAAATAAGCGTCGGGGGCACGATATCTTCCGCGTTCTCGTCCCAACTGCCGGGACGAAAGAAACAAGTCCTTTTTTTTTTTTTTTTTATCGATGCATGAAGAATTGTTGTTTGTTGAGGATCGGCGTTTTACTTGCGGTATTGGACGTCGTGAAAAGTTGCTTCGTACTGTTTCCTCGAATAAGAATAGTTAATGGGGGGATGCTTTAAGTCTTTGGTCCCCAAACGACGCTTCATTTGGGCTTTGTATTAACCGAGCAAGTAATTTTTTGAACATTAGGAACTTGAGGCGTGCAGCGTGAACTTCAATACGAGTCTTGTGAAATGTACAAAAAAGCTTACTTTTTTTTTTTTTTTATTTTTTTTTTTATTTTAAAGATACATGTTTAAGTACCTCTAATTTCTGACAAGTCATCTTTTATATCCGTGACTAGAAAGCTGATTTGAACAATCGATCGATTGTTTAACCGAATAATTGTTATTCAATAAATGGAAGCGAGCGAAGGTTTTTCTAAACCTTCTATTAGTGTTTATTAATGTAAATATGATCGTATCCAATCGGATCCAAATGTACAATGTCGGCGATGCATTAATATATTTATCAGCTCTTAAATGAATTAAAATTCCTATATTAGGATCATTTGCTAGCTCCAAATTTGGGATTTGATTAGATATGACATTTTAAGGATTCAGTACATTTTTTCCCCGGGTGGAGTATGAATAAAAAATAGCGCGTGGAATATACCGTGAGCTGAATGTTGCCGAAATGGATACGTTAATTCTTTAGTTTATACAGTTGAATGATCTTTATATATATATATATATATATATATATATATATGTGTGTGTGTGTGTGTGTGTGTGTGTGTGTGTGTGCCTGCGTGCGTGAGCATCGATTTTTGAATGCATGCTGCGTACGTGTGATTTAGCTCTTAAGAGAAGAACATTAAATATTTTTTACGTATTCTTTATCATTTCATAAATTAAACATTTTTGAGAGATTTATTCGCTTGAACAATATGTATGAAAATAAATTGCATTTATATAAGCAATTTATACAATGACATTTAATATAACTCTGTATAGTGCATTACAATGTTTAGTTGACAAATATTGCGTACAGACTATATTTTTTGTAATCATTATCCGAAATTTGATAAACGCTGTCACTTATTAAAGACTGGATTTCATTTCGGTAGCGTTCCACTTCTTAAATAAGAAATATTTTTTCTGTTTTAATACAAAATTTTGCTATTATGGGAGAGTTCAAGTTTTTCTGCATAAGTTAAAAAGTACTTTAAATTTTTTTTAAATATTTCATTATATGTATTTACTTGGGTACGTAAATTATTTGACATATACATAGTGCAACATGCGAAACATGAAATTTTCTGATGTGTTTTACTTCGTTTCTTCTTAAATATTTTTCAATGCTTATTTATAATTGATATTTTAATTATACTGTGTCAGCAATTTGTAGAAATATTTTTTAATCCCAGCAATAACGAAACACAATTAGATAAAACAGGAAAGTATTTTTTACCACAAATTATTCGCTTAAGCGAGTCTAAAGTTCAATGCACAAAAAAATGTATAAATGTGTGCAATGAAGTTAGATTATGGACTGAATCGACCTTTACTAATGTGGTTTATATAAATACCTTAAAAATGGCCTAGTTTTTTTTTTTTTTGATTTTTTTTTTAATTTTTTTTTTTTAAATCTCTTAAGTCTATGTTCATTTGAATTATTTCTTAAGTTTATGAAATAATTCAAATATTAATAGTTGTTGTGGAGGCGTATATTATATTATACATATATTGTCTTTTAAAAACAAATTGGTAATTGAACAAATTGGTAATTGTTTTTTTTTTTTTTTTTTTTTTTTTTTTTTTTTTTTTAACCATTATCTCTCGAGCATCTTTGTGTTCCTTTGGTGAAATAACGTTATGAATGAATAAAAACTTGAGTAAAATTGATTTTTATTAAAAAGTATTTAAAAATCTCTGTAATACATAATAATAAATGATTGACGAAATATAGTTTATCACTGCAGTGAACGTGAAAACTTGAAGTCCGGTATATTAATCAACATTGTTTGTTGCATTGTATACGATTTTTTATACTGTATAAATTGAAAAGATATTTAGTCACCTACAGTATGATGATTTAACAGAAAAATCCCAGTGATCTCCAATAGTACATTATTTCTCTTTTACATTTTGCGCGTTAATGTTTAGAAACTTAGAAGGTGGCTGGCGGTAACCGTAACACCTTTGTATCTTTGTATCGAACATTTTTGCGAAAGGTTCTGATTTAATTTTTAATTATAATGGGAAAAAAATTGCTATAAAATTTTGAGTCATTCATAATAAAAATGTTTGAAGATAAGAAAATACTTTTTTATTGTTAAAAAAAATGAATGAATAATGAGAGAAAGTTCGAATCTTCGAACTTAGATTTGAATGCTACTTACTGTCTTACATTAAATTCGATCCAACTCAAAAGCTTTTATGAAAATTTACTTATTAAAAATATACCATTTACATTAAAGAATATTTTTACTTTTCATTGGTGATTCCTTCTCACGTCAAATGATTCGTTACATTGTCATATATATATATATATATATATATATAAATTTTTTTTTTTTTTGTATTATCCTTCGATGCCTCGATTTTAAAGGAAAAAAGAACTTGGGAGATAAGAAATTATCATACCGAACATCCACGCCTACAACATATGCGTCTCCAAACGGAAGCTGTTGAATATCCTCAGTGCAAAACCAAGTGCTGAATAGACAAGGCAACTTAGCTATGTCGGTGAAAACTCATTACACCCGCTTTCTTTTCTTTTTCATTATTTATCTTGGTATTAATTTGTTGATCATTAAAATTAAAAGTAGCGACTACATTTACAATAATCTTATGAGTATTTTGAAAAACCACAAATCATCAGCCACCCACAGCGAGAGGCTTAATAATTTTAGTCATAATGGAAAAAAGGATAAAAATATTGGCATCTCCATTTTTAAAAAGACAGTTAAGATTATTCCTCCCGAGCCGAAGGTGACGTTAAATACGTTAAGCGTATATATTTATAATGAGAATTTTCTAAATTTTTTATTTAATATAATTTAACTATTTTCAGGATAATCGAAAGATAGTGAAGCAAATGTCGGACACTTGTAAAGAAAATAATTTGACCACTTCGATTAATAAAAAGAACTTTTTATATAGTTTTCAACATAATGATTTATATTGTTGGATTAGGAAAGTTGGCTCGACGAGTTTTACAAAAATCTTTTCCGAAATGAACAATCGAATGACTACGCGCAATTATTACAAGTAAACTAAATCTCTTTTATTTCTCTTATCTTTACATTTGATACTTCGTATTATTTACGCTTTGCTAAAATTTGTTAGAGAAGTTGAGTTCTTGGCCCCAAAGACCGATGATATATTAAAAGATTCGAAAGTTTTTAAGCTCCTTGTAGTGAGGCATCCATTCGAGAGACTAGTTTCTGCATTTAGGTAAGGTTTTATCAAAAAAAAAATATCAATAAACGCGATTGCATGTTAATGGTGTTATTTTAAAATAGAGACAGAATAGAAGATAATTCAAAGTATACGGCACAATCGTGGATTTATGCTCCAAAAATATTTCACGTAACGAGACAAGAATTATTCGAATCGTCCGGGACAATCGACGAATCTGTATTTAAAATCTTTTATGAAGATAAAAGGTGATTAAAGCGATTTGAAAAATATTATTCTTATCTCGATCTATTCATCAAATTGTCAAGTATCATGTAGTTTTTATACGCATTGCTTTCTTTAGATTAAAATTAATACCGACGTTTAAAGAATTTGTCAAGTGGCTTTTACAGCAAGATTCCGACAAGGATGATCCACATTGGAATCAATATTACAAACATTGTGCCCTTTGTTCCATTCAATACGATTTTGTATTGAAATTAGACAATTACACAAGCGGTGATATCGATTATATGTTTGCTCGAATGCATCTTAATGAAAATGATGTTTATCTACCAAAGTTGGAACAGACGAAGGCAGGATGTACTAATTTCGAAGAAACTTGTAATTACTTCAAAAATCTATCGCACGAAGCGGTTGTTAATTTATATGAAAAATATAGAATTGACTTTGACATGTTCAATTATGAATTTGATAAGTATTTTGAATGTACGGATGGAGACTAATTCATTCTTTCGTTTCTCAATAAATTTTATTAGCAAAACATACTTCGAAAAAAAATTTTTTTTTAAAAAAAATTTTTCCGCTGTTTTTTTTTTTTTTTTTTTTTTTTTTTTTTTTTTTTTTTTTTTTTTAATCAAAAAACACTTTTTCCTGTAAAATATCGTATTTTATTTCGTGGAAATTAATTATATTTATTTATAAAGCTATCTGTGTAGATTTAATATTATACATATATGTAATACTTTCTTTTTTTTGTTTTTTTTTTTAACCATAAAATGAAAGTTATTATTAAAATACATTGATATACAAGTTTGAAAATTATTCATTCTTTAATATTATTTCCACATTAATTTAATATAACTTTAAGAAATAAGTTTTCTTTAATCGAATAATGTAAAAAAAAAAAAATGAAGAAAAAAAAGGTGACTTAATACTATGGATCGATTACTTAGTCTTCTCGGATATCATGCAGACATCAGAATTATCATCGTCGATATCAACAATAAAGCAATCGTCATCGTCGTCATTGTTGTCGTTCTCGTCATCGTCGTGCTTAGTTGTGGGAATTTTATGCTTCATTGGCAATTTTGACATCGCCACAGAATTAGAATTGGCGTCGTGTTCAACTATACAAATGTCATCATCGCTGTCGGATACATTGCTGCTCACCTCAACCTTTCGCTTTTTGCTTGGTGTAGTATCTGAAAGTGGATCGGTTTTTCGCTTCTTCGCTGAGCCCAGTTCGGATTTTTCGGGCGACACCTCATTCTCACTCTTAGCAGCCTGAAAGATTTATAAAACAGCGATTAAATGTTATGCCTTTATAGCTACGCAATAAGACCAATTAAAAACATCTTTTACTTTACGCTTACGTGATTTTTAATAGTTAAACGAGAGATATAGTTAATTGTTATATTTGGCTATCAAATTTTTAATATTTAAAATAGATAAAGTGAATTTCATTTAATTATTATGATTTGTGTTAAACTCAACATTTTTATTTCAATTCAATTTAAACTGCTAGAGTTGACAATCTTTTACTCTAATTACTATTATGAGTTTATTCAACGTTTTATTGTAGTCAACTGAAATGTAACACACGGATAATTTCAGCTTACTCTTCTTTTTTAAGAAAACTGCATTAAATGTGTATAATTACTTAATAGAAAAGTGGCAACTCAAGTAAATGAATGAATTACAGTGATTAGGATCGGTTCTCCGATCGATTCTTATCAGAGCTCCGAACCAAACAACATTTTTAACAATTACATTTCCATTTAATTTATAATCTTAAGCTGTACGTTAAAATTAATATTAAATTTCAGCAATACACTGATTATTTTAATTAAAAAATTAATTCTAATCTTTATCTTAATAAGTCAATTACGACATAATTATTTCACAAGTTTCAAGCATCCATTATCTAAGTATTTTATAAAAATAGCTACATATAATAATAATTTAATCATTTTTCAAAAATTTGTAAGATTCGTATTGGTATTGGATAATCATTTGCATTAATTTTATTCCTAGCGGTATTCTCTCTAATATAATAAATATCTGATATTACTGTTATCCAATGTTACTCACATCTCCGTTCGATGTAGAAGGTTTTGCACCAATGTTATTTTCTTCTTTAGGTTTGAGGTCTTCTGCATCTGCTGTAATAATAAACTCGGATTCGTCACTGTTAGGCGCAGGTTTATCTCGATGAATAACAGTTACTTTTAAGGAATAATTCTGCAAAAAATCATCAACGCAAAGAACCGATCCATCCACAATTCCAACCTCTTGTAAAATTTTGTTATTATTATCTTCTGTTTCTCCTTCTTCGCTACTAATAACAACTATGCCTTTCCCATCTATCATAACATCCGGAGCAATCATATTCATACCTTGCTTTAATACTGTATCTTCTAACTGCTTTACAGTCATACTTGTTACATCGGCAGCGAGAGCAGCTGTTGGAGTTTTGGCACATACGTAGCACTTTGGATTGGGTGCATTTATGCACTTTTCTGGCACTAGCAGCTGATTTCGATGATTCATTTTTGGTCGAAGATAAACGGATTTACAGTCTTGTAACATATTCAACAATACCCGGAAAGCATGTAAAATTACCACTCCGGCAATTATTGCATTGGTTGTAGCTATTGCTGGAATGATATTACCAGCCATTGCTAAAATAAAAAATTAACTCTTTAATATTTTCCATTCGATATAAAGATATTTTGATAAATTGTTTCACAACTAGAGCTGTGCTTGCGGTAAATACTAATGCTACACAAAAATGTTTAACTATTTACAAATCCATAGAAATAAATAGTAATTATTATGAGTATTATGTTGTACATTGTTTGTAATATAAAATACTTACATTTAATGTCAAATCGGGTTTTTTGTGGAATGCCAAAGATGTGGGCTCGAATATTGGTACAGGATGCTACAAAATTCATAGCCGCTTCGTCATCTTTGTCCCATACAAGATGATCCGTTGCAGACTTTTGTCTACAATTCGTAAAATTAGCATTTAAATTTTTAAGCGATTCTGCAAAGACTAAGCCACATTTTGATATACTCCAGCGTTGTTGATCCCTCAGTACAGAATTTTCATCCTCTTTACTACAGCTGGCAACTAATAATTGAAATTAAACTTGGTAAAACGTTTTGTACTTTAGCGTACATTTCATTTTAATACATAATTTTCATAAACTATTTACCTCCATCGGATAAATTATTCCAATCTAATGGTGTCGGCGGTCTACGTTTTTTCCATAAATTATCCATACTGAGAAGGTATTTAATATCATCGTGGAAGAGTTTGGTAAATAGTTTTTCAGGATCGTAATTATTAGATTGGGCCCACGATCGTGTAGAAACACGTTTAATATTTCCATTATCATTAGCTTCAGACTGCAAAGCAGTTTCTCCTATAGTATCTGAAATATTTTCATGCGCATATCGATTATTTTGTCAAACCACGTAACAAAAGAAAAAGAAAGGAATAATGTAAATAATTTTACCTCCTGTTGCTTCTGGATCAGCTGTGTCTGGAGAGACATCTTGATCTGGATCTTCTTCGCCAAACAATTGACTATTAAAATTTAAATTATTTATCACAACAATGAATTAATGCAATATATGTATATCATTTTTAGAATCGTCGTTAAAAAAGCTCTTTCATTATTTATTTAAATAAATTAAATTATATGTAAGAAATTTATTTACATTACTTTCACTTATATATAATTACAAAGAATCGTGTAAATGAATTTTTACAATCTTCTCTTATTAACCACCTAATGAATAGGTAATAGTTTCAACAAAATATTGTAACAAATGATTACTTCGATAGTTATTCTAATAGAAAAAAACATCATGTATTGTTAAATGAAAACTTAAATATTTCCGTTTCCTTTGTATATTATTAATAGTTTAGATTTTTTTGTTCGGCTGCACCAGTATTTACGCATAAAACTGTACATTTAATGCAAGAAATCATATAAACATTTACATTTTGTAATTGATATTTTATAAATAACTAATTTTTATCATTATTATTGATTATATACATTTCTTATATAATTCCATTTACGTTATTTTTAATATTTTTTATACACTATTATTATTTGCTTCAACGTTAACGATTACATTCATTTTTATTGTGATTAAAGAAATTGTTGTATTTAAGTATCGATATAATAAATTAATTTAATTACGATCGTCCAACCGTTTAAAAATACTTTGCGCGTAATTTAAATGACGGATATGAGTTTGAATATTGTTTACAAATAGTATAAAATATTATTTGAAACAAGTTGGAACAATGTGAACATGAGAAAGCGAAAAGTATAAAATAACGAATGTTAATTTAATCACAAAATTCATTAAATCATTAATCCCATTAATCTAGAAATTTCTAATATCTTTGTCATTCATCGTGCAAGCTTCGATCTAACTAATAAGCACTTATTATTTCCTGCATCAAAACCTTTTGACTTATTATTATTAATAAATTAGTTAAAAATAAAAAAAAAACAAGCATATTCACAAACAATATATTTAAAAAAGTAACCATTGTTACTATTGTTATCGTAGTTGTGTTTACAAAATTACTTACTTAAATAAATGTTTTGCCCAAACGATGCAATGAATTGTTTCACTAGGTGTGTTACGTATAGTACATCCAGGGAATGTTTTTTGCGCTACCTTTGGAGTACATTCATAACATTGTGTTAATCCTTTCTTAATGAGTTCGACTTGCCCATCGTAACCTGCGGTTCCTGATTCAATCAGTGGTATTTCTGCTGCCAAGCACATGCGATTAACGTGATTTCTTGCTGCTCTATTATCTAACGCATTCAAAACGAATGTGAACTTTTTAAAGTATGATATTCCATAATCAGTACTGAAATGCAATTTATTAATGGCATTAGTTACAATTAGTTATGCATTAGATGAAATGTAACGTGGAAGCTGCAAGTCGCACATTTTTGTACTTACGAAGTAATATTGTCATGATGATCAATGATTTTAACGTCTGGATTAAAAGTGAGTGCCGTTTCACGGGCTACTGTAGCTTTTGACTTTCCGATATGTTGTTTTTGAAAAAGAAATTGACGATTCAAATTGCTCACATCTATTGTATCAAGATCAATCTGAAAGGATTATAAAGTATGAGAAGGAGATGCAATTTTTCATTTCAATCGGCAACGTTCGATTATTTACGAATCTGTCACTCATTTGAATTACTTAATTAGATTGTTATGTTAAATTAATGTACGCGTGCCTCGATATACTGGCTATTAATGCGGCTTCGAATGTACGATAAGTGAGGTTAGCTTGGTACGGCATCTTTTTATATTATATAAACATTGTATGTTTTACTTACAATTTCGATATCAGGGAATCCAGACAACACTAAATTCTTAAGTATTTCACAACCGATGCCACCGGCACCCACAACCAACACTTTACTCTTTAGAATTGCATTTTGTAAATTTTCGTTAAAAACATCTTGAATAGCTGCTGCCATTTTAAATGTCAAAAGGCCACTAAGCACTAATCATTAAGCAACTAATTAATAATTTAGTCGGTAGCCGGTCACTAAATTGCTTTGATAAACAAATACAATGCGGAAGAATGCCGGATTAGAGTTTTGTGCTTAACACCAGCTTGTTAAATTGTTTAGAATTGCCAGGTCCGTCGCGATATATTATGGTATACTCTGTTAGGCGAGTTTTGCCATAGATGTTGTGCTTTTTTTTTTTAGATAATATGATTTTAATTCGAATAAATCATTGAATTTGAAATATCGTTGAAGATCTGCTAATATTGTATAATAATATGTATTATTAAAAAATGTTTATTTTGATTATATTCTTGCCCGGCATTAAATTTGCTAATATTGGTACAACTGTAAGTATGTTAAGAAGCACAAAGCAATAGTATTAGGGAATAAAAATATTTGAAATGTGATTTGAACGAAATTTTCAGGGTATTTTCATTGGCATTTCTACGCAATGCTAAGTTAATTGGAAAATCGTAGATGAATAAGGAAGGTCTAGAAGTCAAGAAAATAATGTATTCCCATCGTTACCAATAGGACGTGAAATTGTATTTAATATGATTTATAATGAAAGTATGAGGTTTTTTTATTTTTTAATAAATCATTTATTGATAATAAAGGTAATACATTCTTAAATATATGTTTCAAATACAAATTAATAATATATTTAAACTAATATATGTAATTTATTTCATTTAAATAGATAAAAATATCTCAATATCAAAATATAGTAATGAATAAAGTTAATTTTTATGGTGTTAAAGCGTAATAGCGTAAATAGAGTTGCAAATTAAATTCAGCAAAATCACGTTTATCTCTTTCTAGTTTCACTTTACATTTTGCATAAAGATACCTGCTTTTTTAAATAGTATTTTCAAGTATAATTTTAATTCTATTATATATAATACAGTCTTCTACAGATTCACGCTTGCAATGAGATTGTTCAGTCGCTGTCGGAATCATTATTATCATTATTTTGAATGATTGCTGGTACGCAGCTCTTATCACGAAGCAAACCATGCTCTATTAGAAACGATTCAACATCTGATGCATAGAAATCGTCTCCGAGACTATTTGTAACATGAACAAAGTTGCCAATGATTTGACTATTCTTGTAAGCTAATAAGGCAGGTACACCTTCTTTCTTAAAGTGTTTACTAACACCGACGGTCGAGGCTAAAACAAGTTTCAACGATATTAATTGTATATTAAATGAACATAATAATTGATATACAAATGTCCAAAGTACCTGATATTTTACAGAATTTTACATATGGATATTCTTTCGCTAGTGTTATAAAACAGCCGTTCATAGCAGCGCAGCCAGGAACATCGTTTTGATATATATGAATGATTATAGTGACCGATTTGTCTTCTTTGTCAATAGCTGTTAGAAATTGGGTAACATTTTCTAAATTTATAACTGTTCCAAAGCGCAATTTTTCTGCTTTAGCTATCATTTCTTGCATTCTTTGCTTTTGATAAGCGAGAAGAAATTCATCGGCCATGAGATCAGCCAAGTCAGAGTCGCTTTCAAGCATCTTTTCTCTCTCGTCGTCTAAGCTACTACGGCAGGTTAGGCTAAGCTTTTTCATAAGTTCTATTCTCTCTTTTTCTTGTTCAGCTCGCTTTTCGCTTTCTATCTGCTTAAAACGCTGCCAGTCCTACATTGACGAACCAAAGGATAAAAGATACCAATTTAGAAATAACATTACAAATAGTTTGTACACAAAACAACAAACCCTAATAACGCCTTTTGGTCCTGTATTACTTGAGGTGCCATCCCATTCTGAAAGATCCATGGATGGTTGCTTCGTTGGCATATCAACAATTTTCGATAATTCATCCTCCTTATCAGAATTTTCAGAACCATTCTCTTCGTCGTCGCTCGAACTACTGCAATAATACTGTGACTTTTCACCTAAAATCTTATCCTCGAGCGTTGCCATATTACCAACTGGCGATTCCTGTACGAGTGTCTTTGAATATACGGCTAAGTAAAGCTTCTAATAATGCCTTTTGTGAATTATTATACCTATGGTTCACTCGACTTTCTAAAACTAAAGCTCTGATAGCTTCTTAAGCCAAACATTATCCTTAGTTAATCTTTTATGAAATACGAGGTACTGAAATACTGGTGAAAATTAAACTTATGATACCTAAATGGATATTGTGCTCTTCTATCCTATTCTAACTTCTCAATACCTGCGTTAAAAATAATTCGTTATTAATTTGGACTAGTTTTCTCGCCTCATTACATGGTTATTTCTTGCAAGGCCAACACGCGAATCACATAAGTTAATTAGCCAAAATATTATATATTATATTGTACGCGCTAGAATTGCGTGTCGTACTGTGACAGCCTACAGAACAATACAATGTAAAACTGTTTTATCGACGTAGTGGTAAAAAGTACCAACGATATATGATTATTATTATGCTTTTGACACTCCCGAGTTGATTGCCACTACTCGTAGAGTGTACTTTGGAATGTTTACTTTACTCCCCCTTTATGCCCAGATTTAAGGTATGTAAGTATGGCGTTGTTTCTCTCATTCTTCCATTAAGTCGCGTTTCGCCCTTCATTCGTCGATTCATTGGATTCAGGAATTACGTGCACGGGAAAATGAAAAAGTATCTGTATCGTTTTTAGTTAATAATTTACTTTCAAATAATGTCATCGTTATTCGTTGTGTATACAATAATACATTGAATATAATAAAACTTATGATTATTTTTCACGTAGAGTAATTGAAATTGTCGTGCATTCGAAGTTAGCCCTTCGGTACAATATTAATTGTCCTTTTGCTCTTTGTTGTATTCTGTATACGTACCGACAAAAGGATTTTTAATTAATTTGAACGCTTAATTTACGCCTAGGCGTTTTATTATTTTGACTAGGTATATTCGTTGAAATCTAAGATTGTACACAAAATTTTATTTGCAATTATACGATTTCTACTACATGGCAATGATTTTGCACTTTTATGGACAAAATAGATAAAGTGAATAAATACCATTCAAAATACTTATCACTAATACGATTGTATTTGTGTTCTACATACTTTTTATTGTGCATATAAAACTTAAGCTTTTTGTAAAATATTTTATTTTATGACATAAAGTTTTTTTATATATATACATAAATATATTGACAACATTTCTCAACTATTTGCATTACTAATTACGAGTATTTTTTATATTCAATAATAAATTTTGGCAATTTTTCATTTCACTATTCTCGTGTGTTTTTTTATTATAAAGGATTTTTAACTCATTCGATTCGGATTATGCTCTTTGCGAAACAATTTGCGAATATTCTATGAGACAGTATGGATCGAATCATTAAACTTCCGTAACATAAAAATCTACACGTTGAAGTGGATAAAAGAAGATTTAAGCATGTTTTAGCCAATACAAGAATGTTGTGATTATTAGACGATTTAATGGACAATACAAGTGCATAGTTGTGTGAAGGTAAAACCTGCTGTTATAAAATTTCTATTGATTGTACTTTAAATTTAATATATATATATATATATATATATATATAATTGAAATTATTTTTCTTATTTCGTTTTCATTGAAAAAATATTATTAATAAATTATGACCTCAAAAGCATTTAAACTTTTATGAAAAAATATAATATTCATTCAAATTTCATACTCCCGATAATCAATTCTTACCATTATAATTCTAAAATTACAAACTACATCTGTGATTTATACAATAAATCCTGTCGTTGCTTATACAAATAATACAACAATACAGAATTATTACAATATTGTTATTTATATGTTTTATCATAAGAAGTATAAGCAAAAAAATAAATAAATAAATAAAATTATAGGTTTGATATAAAAATCCATTGAATTCATGTTTATGGGATTTTGTTCGAATTGCTTTACATAATACATAATACATAAAAAGTATTTTTATAATAGCATTAGTATTTGATGAATAGTATTTAATAACGAAATTATATTTGTTATAGAATACACTTATATACAAGAAATATAGCCCGTCAAATGGATGACAACTGTTCCGGAGAATTTTCGTTCATACAATATTGTACTTAAAATATTCGATAATATTTAGAATTTTTGTGATATTTTTATTTGCCAAAATAATAAATTAGTTTAAGAGCTCAGCTGGAATTTTTCATAAGAATATGATATAAGGTTTATATTACCCACAAGTATAATTAAAATTAAAAGAAATATGTAACAAGACTAACAAATTATATTTTACTTCTTAAAAAACTTTTGTTTGGTTGTGCGATCACTGAAACGTGATTTAAGTAGGAAAAAAATAAAAACAAAATTTACGTCTTCGGTTTCAGTAAAGTTCGATTAAGTCAATTAGTGTTGTGACGCAGAAAGTTTTTTTTTTTTATTATCAAAACAAAAAAAGCTAACAACAACAAAAGTTTTAAGCACAAAGCTTTAATACAATGTATATCTAAAAAAAATTGGATATATTTGAATTAAAAAGAGAAAAATGTAACACAAGGTTTTTCAAGTATATCATATCAAACCTATTTATTTTAGACTTAAAATATTATTTTTTTATGTAATAAAAATTATTTTGCACAATAATGTGATAAATTATTATTATTAATGCAAGAAAAGATTTTAATTAATGTATAAATTGTTATCTCTTTTAAGATTTTCAAAATGTTAATAATTTATGAAATTATAAATTTTTATAAAAGAGTAAGTAAAGGACAGAGATTTAAAAAAAGAAAAAAGATAAAACTAACTGCCTTGTATAAATTGTGTTCAAATAACCACTTTTTATTGAAGTTGATACGTATATTGCTTAAATAAATCAACAGACATTCTTACTTACTTAAACAAAAGATTCTTATTTTCAAATAGAAGATATACGTATACATTGGGTATATAATGTATGGAAAAATTGTAAAAAAAATGTAAGAAGAAATATGCTATCATCTAATTGCAGCTCTAATTGAAATATATATATATATATATATATATATATATATATTTTAATATAAAAAGAACCCATTGCAAATTGCAAACTGAAATAAAAAAGTGAAAATACATTTTCAAATACTTGAAAAATAACCAGTAAAAATCAGTCAATAACCAGTAAAGTCAGTAGTAATAGGATTGCAATACAAAGTAGGTAAAGTTTTAGAAGTATGTATTTATATTAGAAGTATGTAATAATAAGCATATTACATGATGCTTAACCGTATTATTGCTAATATATATTAAGATTTAAATTCAATTTGCTTTTTTCATTTTGTATTATTCGTTTTGAAATTTCAAATTAAAATCTTAGTTAAATTATTTAAGAAGAAAATTTTTTTCAATTGCGAAAAAGAAGTATGTCGTTAAACTTTTTTACTTTGTTAAAAACTTATTCAAATAAAATTGATATTGTTTTTAAAAACTTTAATGCAATTAATATTTCATGCATTTAATGTTCATGTAAATTTAATGAAATTAATATTTCAAGTTAATATGATTGATTGCAGTATACAAATGATGATTAACGCATTATGTCAACACGGATGATACGTAAATCATTTGATTTCATTTTGCGATTTAAATAACTTGAAATCATATGTTTATTGACAAATATTGAAGGAAAAAGCAAACAATTTGTTTATATAGATTAAAAAAAAAAAAAAAAAAAATTGATTAAACTAGTGTCAAAACAGATAAAAAGAAGTAGAATTGAATACTCGAATAGTCGAAATTTATTCATTTTTAATTGACTCATTTTTAACAAATTTTGCATAATAATGCGTAATTAATTTTACATATTTTCATATTTTTAAAAATGTCATCGATTGCATATATATATATATATATATATATATATATATATATATATCTTTAATCAATTTTTGTATTAAAGTTTGATAATTGATAAAAATTACTTACTGAATAACTGTTTAGACCGAAAAATATATATGTAAACAATTAGTTATTAATTAATATATATAAATGATAATTATTTGATGCTTGAAAGAGTTGAAATTCTGCAATATTATCTGAAGAAAATAAAAAACTCAATTTGTAAGTCTAATATTTTAATGCATGGAATTCAAGAAAGAATATTTAACTGGATAATATTTTTTTATAAAATCGTATGCTTCGTTAGGAAATAGATAATATATACATATACATATATATATATATATATATATATATATATATATATATATATATATACGATAAACATAAAAATCAATGATGAAATCAATAAAAATACCATCATTCGAATATAATATTTTTCATTTTTTTCACTGCTTTCACTATCCTTTATCTCTCTCTCTCTCCCCCCCCCCCTCCCCACATCCCAACACGTCCCGTTATCTCTCTTCTCATGTAGTCTTTATGATATATGGACGCTAAGCTAAGGTGATCAGCCACAAAGTTGTTGGATCATTACATCACGATTAAAGTAAACTATATGTACATATGTATGCACGTGTTATTTTTGTTTGTATGCTACAATCAGTCACGAGGTTAAAAGATAAGAGTGAGAACTGGGAACCCCTGCAGATCGAGTTACTGCTCCCCCGGAGCGCATTTAAGTGTTCCAACAGAGATAATGATAAAGAAATGGAAGGGCGAGTGGGGGGGGGGGAGAAAGGGAGGAAAATCAAGAAAGCTTTCGTAGATCAGTAAATGAATTTTTCGTAGACTTTCTTCTTTCTCCAAATCAGCGATCATATGAAGTAATAATTGGGATTCATTTATTTCTTGTATTTACGATTAATTTTTGTTTGAAAAGTTGTTTCGATATATAAATTTGCATAATCTCTTTAATTTTCATACGATTGCCACTATTACAAATGTTTCGATTATATGCGATTATTAAAATCACTCAATTTAATGAAAATTTCTTCATTCAAGTAATGTTAAGATATGTTGTTTTATTTCACTTTTTTTATATGATGCGATAAAAATATTTAATAAATAGTAGCTTATACATTCAAAGCGGATACAATTTAATTAGCCTGCAATAAAATGACGCTATTTTATTTTAATTAGAAGAATAGTTTAGAAGAACTAATAAATATATGATAAATGAAATACAAAATAATGACCAGAAACAAAAGGAACGAATATCATCCATGAAAAAGTAAAGAAAAAAAAAAAAAAAAATTAATTATAATATTAATCTACCAAGTAATGATTTTCTAGCTATAACGTGCCACATCGCTAAATTCATTTATTAAAA